AAGTTATGTCTATGTACAACATCCTGGTAATACACAAATAGATGATAAAACTGGGTCACTAAATCATGTCCACACTGCAACTGGCCATAATATAACAACTGTAATAAAATTGACTAACTTAGTAAACAACACCAACATAGTCAATGTTCCTACGAGTATAAACAGTACTAATATTAATAACATAAATTTGAATGGTACTTACGGTCGAGGTGAATGGGGTTTAGGTGCCAACAAGGATGGTAGTTGCTGTATTGCTGTCCAACCTAAAAGTTGTGGAGGAACTAGTTGTAGACATGCTCGTCACAGGGCATGTGGACCCCAGTGTACTTCAAAAGTAATTCATGTAAACCACAGATGTCGAGGTCGAAGCTGTAACAATGGTGTGGTTTACGTACCTCAGCCACGTCCTTCTTGCAGCTACAGACACTCCTGGCCTTATGTAAGTTGTGGAGGCAGAAAAGAACGATCCTGCAATGGATGCTACGACCATTATGGCCATGGATATTATTCTTACCACGCAGGTAGATCTGCTCCCAATTGTGATGGTTGTTACGACGATGGATATGACCAAGGACCTCTATATCGCCATGGACCATTCTATCAGCCTGGATTTTATCATCAGCCACCTATGTTCCCATTTGCATGCGGGCCTTTTGGTTGCTTTGGAAATCAATTCATTAATCCCTTCGGATATCCTCCGGATTTCGGTTACAATAGGGAAGCAGATTATGATTATGAGACTCAAATTAAAGACGATGAAACTGTTCAATATGTGGATGAAGAGGAATTTTATGAATCGTTGAATAAAACGTATGGGAACAGTAATTGCACGATTAGAAATGAAAGTACAGGAGAAAGCATACCTTGCGCGTCAGTGCAATCCCAAAATCCGTATATGAAAAATAAATTAAACCAGCCAATAATACAGGTCAGTAAAATATATTTTCAAATTTCAGAGTTCATTAAAATTGGTTCGCATATGATTTGCATTTCTTTTTTATTCATTCATATATTCAATTTAATTATAATATTTATGTTTGCATGTTTGACGAATTTTGTTATTCTTTCAGCAACAGCTACAAGATGGTGAAGTAATAGAAGAAACTAACAATATCGACAAATCGAACAATTTGGAAGGAGAACAAGTTGATGAAATTATAGAAACATACCATCCCATGCGCAGAGATCCTCCATGGCTACCTCATTCTAGAAGGCATAGCAGGCACCATCACAGACACCACAGGCCAAGGCACCATGAAGCTATGAGAAGTCATCGGAAACCTTGGGAACCTGAAACTGGAGAATATCCATCTTATAATGAATGAGGACTTGGAAAATCACTCTTGAAAAAGCACAAGCGTTACTTATTTTTATCTAAACATATATTATAATTTTAATTTTATACGATATATAGAAATAAAACCATATAATTTATAAATTTATTTTATTTTTTAGACTTATCTTTTTAACTTCTTATTACAGAAAATCAGATAAAACAAGCGTTTTGTGTATTATTATTATTATATATTTATTTCTAATAACATTTTTGTGTAAATGCTTTAAGATAATGTATTAACATAATTTTGTACGATATTTAATATCTATTTGGATAAACGGTAAAGTTTCTATGCATGATCAAATGATCTATTTCTTTAGAATAAAGACAATCTCTTTATTGAGATCAAAAACATTTATTATTTTATGAATTCAATTTAAAGTTTATTAATCTGTAACAAATAAATAGTTTAAAAAGATATTTGTTTTTTTTTTCGTTTAATGGTTTTAATATATATGAATTACAGAAAAATTGATTACACGTGAATTATACTTAAGATCTTGGAAAAAATGTGAAACAAATATTTAACATATTTGTTGAAATTTTACACATTATAAAAATTTTGTTATCTGCTATTGCCTAGCACATTGGACCACCATAAGTTTCGCAGTAGTTTTCTAAATCTTCATAATCGGTATAATCATCAGAATAATTATCAGTGTAACAACTTGAACTGCAACTGCCCCCGGAGATTCCGCAGCTTGAACATGCTAAAATTTAAATTATACATAAATTTTTTTAATAAAATAACGCATTTTATTTTTTACTTACATCCTCTACAATCCAGATATGGGTATGCATTTACCCCATAACATCTAGAACCAGGCATGGGCTGTGGTTGAGGTACAGGTACAGGATACGGTTGTGGTACGGGAACTGGTTGTGGCACGTAAATTGGTTCAACTCTTGGTTTCAAAAAAATGATTTTAGAATTCCTGCAGAAAGATCCACATCTTTGATATCTAGTTCTTCGGCAATGAGATCTTCTGTCACAACGATTGGGACCTACTACTGTACAACAATTGTTATCAGAAGATTCCTTTTGTTTTTCAGATACTTGGTTGCTCTTATTTTCCTCGTGTTTTAAATCAGTACGTTCTCTAACATCATTAATATTAGTATTATTCACGGAAATTGTGACATTAACAAAGCCATGTGAGTCCGTTTTTAGAGTTGAATCTATTTTCTCGTTTTTCTTATTTGTAGTTGTATTATCTACAACTCGTTCAGGTTTTTTAGTACTATTAGAACTTATAACAATTTCTTGTGGAACTTTAACATAAACTTTTTGTTTAACTTCATAAGGCTTTTGGACTACTACATCGTAAGGACGGTCTCGGATTATTTCCACTGGTCTTTGCACTACTTGTGTAATTTCTTTGGGTACAATTACAGGTCTGTTAACTGGAACATGCACAATTTGTTGTACTGGATAAGGCTGAGGTACCAGTTCTTTGATAACCTCGACTCTGGGTACGACTTGGGTTACAGGGTAAGGTACAAGACGGGCTTGAATTTGCGGTGGAGAAGCAATAAACTAAAAGAAAAAGTACAAATTCAAAATAAATCAATATATTTATATATAGTATATATATATATATATATATATATAATTTACCTGGGGAGGACTTGGCACTTGAACAACCCGACAACCCGTAGAGCCTTGGGCACAAGGGGTGGGTTGATTGATAATCAGTGGTGTTTGTCCAATATACGGTGAAACAAATGAAGACTGCCCATTATATCCAGAATAAGATTGCAAATTTGAAAGTCCTGAATATCCAGATAATAAAGGTAGCCCAGAAATTCCATTAAATCCTGATAATCCATTAAGGCCGCAACCTGGGGTACCAGGAAAACAGCTGGTCGTGGCCGATGTGAGAGGACAACGTCCAGAATTGCAGCCAGTATTACTACTCCAACTATTTGTATATATTTGGCGTTTTTTTATTTCTTTGCCATGGACAAGCAAAGCTAGAGTCAGTGTGAACATCCATAGTAATACTTTTGTATTCATTTTCTAAAAAAAATAATATACATGAATTCATTAGTAAAAAATGATATATATTCTTCAAATATGAGTATTAAATTCTAAAAAATTTGAAGTATTAAAATAAGGATTATTTTGGCTTTAAAAAACATTACAAAATCATTTTTTATCATTGTTATTATAAACAAAAATACATTGAAATCAATTCGTACCTTTATAAAAAAAACTAAAAATGAACTCATAAAGTATAAAATTCGATTTATACCACTAAAATATTAACTACACTCCCTAATCACTACTATTTCGATATTAAATCATACAAAACAATTTCTGGATTTTGTGTGAATGTAATAATAGGGTGATTCTAAATTATAATGTTTATAATTTATTTAATTATTTTAAACTAATAAACTACACAATAATTGTATTTTTTCAAACGCCAAACAATCAATTTAGAAAGAATTATGTCTAAATTACCTATGTAATTTTTAGTATTTCTAACACAAATGCAACTACTTTGTTCCATCAATAATTCAGAATCACCCAGTAGATAAAAAATAAAAGTCAACTACACTTTAGTGATAATTTATAAAAAAAACATATAAGAAAATTCTATTAATTAGATCTCATATTTTACACATGCAAATATTAATTCACACAAATATCACACAGTTACATATTATCTTCAATATTTTTTTCTATAAATTATTCTGATATCATAATCTGGTATGAAATTTTTTGCTCCAAATATATATTATGTAATGTATTAAACATCCGCAATTTTGCCATTAGTAAAGTTGCTAAAGGTCATAACTATTTTTGAATATTTGAAGAGATATAATTATATTTCGGTAATTAAGTTTTAAACAGATTTTTTTACTGAAATCAAAAGAAATCTTATTTCTTCTATATATACACATTTATCCAACTACATTTTAGAGCAATTCAATAACGATTTCAAAAATTTATAACCAAACGGAAAATATTGGTCAGTAATTATGCTGACTAGTTCACAATTAAATAAACATAAGTTGGACCAGTTATATAACAATAAAGGAAAATTTTATGGGACTTTTTCTAGAATTTTTTATTGGAATGTATAATATTCTCATTATTTTTTATTTTTCAATAATTCCTTATTTAATTTCAAGGTTAAATTCTTATTAAAAACACAAGATTACAATGTTTATTGATTAAGCAACTTGAAGCCCAATTTTAAATACCTTTATTTAAGCAAATTGATGGCATATAATTAAATAAGATCATCATTAATATAAAGTTATAAATTTATTTATATATATTGAAAAAAACTAGATAAATATATAGCTTGTTAAATTTCAGATACAATACATAAGTGAAGAACATTTGTATAAAATTTCAAATAATTTATAATCAATATTGTATTTATATTATAATATGTTCTTTATTATTTGATAATTATTATTTGAATTCTAATTATAATCTTAAATACAAATAAAGTTTGTATAAGAAAAACGAAAAACTTTACTAAAAAATTAATTAAGCTGAAACAAACGATTTTTCTTTGCTGATAGTATAGCAAAGTTATGTTTTTATTATTATACAAAAGTGCATTTATTGGTGATAGAATTGTAATTTTAAACATATATAAAACTATATGATAATATTTTAACAGTAGTAGAAAACAGCATTAGATTAACACATTGGTCCACCATGAGTTTCGCAATAGTCTTCCTCATATTCATAGTCAACAAAATCATCAGAATAACTGTCGGAGTAACAATTAGCATTACAACTGCCCCCAGATGCTGCACAGCTAGAACATGCTGAAAAAAATTAATAGCAAATTAATTTAAGTGCTAAAAGACAGTGTAATAGATTTAAATTTAGTGATCAAAATTTTATCTACTTACATCCCCTGCAGTCGAAATATGGATAAGAGTTCAAACCGTAGCATCTGGAACCAGGAGTTGGTGCAGGATGAGGCATCGGCATCGGTACTGGGTATGGTTGAGGTACCGGAACTGGTTGAGGAATATATATTGGCTGTGTTCTTTGCTTTAGCATAATAACTCTGGAGTTTCCGCAAAATGAACCGCATCTCTGATACCTCGTCCTTCGACAATAACTCCCGCCCTCACATCGAGTAGGACCTACCACCGTACAACATTTTTTCTCTGTAGATTGACTTATTTGTGATGATGATTGTTCACTGTTTTTCATGTCAGTTTGTAGATCTGTTGCTCCTGTTACGTTGTTAATATTAACGTTGCTGACAGAAATTGTTACATTGACCATGTTTCTATTATTAGCGTCATTCTTCAAATCACTGGAGCTGGTATTATTTGAAATATTAGTTTCAATTTCCTGTTCCTCTATTTCGGTCGAAGGACGAGTCACATAAGTGATTACAGGCACGTCTACCCTTTCAATAACGGTTACTGGATAATGTTGGATAACTTCCCGGGGAACATGTCGATCTCTGTAGACAGGCACATCTTGGGGCACATATTTAACAACTGGCTTTTCAATGACTACTTGTCTGTCTACAGGAACATGAACTACATTTGGAACTGGGTATGGTTGTGGCACTGTTTGCTTAACATAGTTCACCCTATTAACAATTTCAGGTACCGGATAAGGTACGTCCTTTGTAATTACTTGTGGCGGCTGAACAAATACTTGAGATGGAGTTCGTTGATAAATAAGACAGTGTGGATTATTTGATGGGCAAGGCTGCTGATGTATATAAATTGGCGGTTGCGGTTGTGGTTGTGGTATTAAAAATTGATGAGAATACCCTCCTACTTGACATCCTGGTGTACCTAAAATGCAACCTACTCCGCCAGTACAAAATCCACCGATACAGTTTACAGCAGTCCTCCCACAATTTTGTGTTCCTTGTGTACATATTGGGGGCAAATGGCATCCTGGAGTACCAGGAATGCAATGATATGGCAAGTGACAGCCTGGTGTACCAGGAATACATACAGGTGGTGTCAAATTACAACCTGGTGACCCAGGGATACAAAATGGTGGCGTTGAAATACATCCAGGTGTTCCCGGAATGCAATGAGTCTGTTGAATTTCTGGTGAACAAACTTGAAGCAAGACGCAACGCATGCGAGAATTTGTTGTAGTTGTTGCTATTTGCCGCTTTTTAATTTGTTTTCCTTCGACAAGAAGAAAAATAGCAAACACAGCTATTATTTTAAAAGTTCTCATTTTACCTGCAAAATAAATTAACATAAGTTCAATTAAAACCAGATAAATATTATTTTTACATAAATAGAACACAAAATTGAAATACAAAAATTATCGCAATTGCACAAAAAATTCAGTATAAAATACAACTAAGATATTTATATTTTTTAATTACATATGCAATTATCGTTATACATTTTTAAAAATTAAACATTTTTTCATTTTGGTATAATAAAAATAGTTTTACACGTTTTGTGAAAAGTAATAGATTTTAATTAATCTTATTAGAAAAATTAAATTAAAGTATAATAACTTTTGTGTACATACCTTAAAAACTAATCTTCAATGTTAAACTTAAACACTTCCACTTGGCGATTGTTCTCAATCACTAACAATTTGATAATTTGCTTTGCTATTGCTAATCTCTTGGATTCAATTACAACATGGTGTTACAGAATATATTTGCAAAAAATTTGAAATTATTTTCAATTTGAAAATACATAAGCAGGATACAAATAACGTATGAAATTTATTTTAATTCTTAAGCGATAGAGTTGAGTTGTGTAATAAACACATACTAGGTATTGTCCCAGAGATTCAAAGTCAACTCAAAAAACTATTTCATATCACCAAGTGTGCAATTTTTTTTTCAAATTAATTTTTATCACATATAATAAATTAACGAGTTCAAAATAAGAATAATATGTTAAACACTTATCTTTATTAGTGCTGCGCATAAGATTGTATTCGAAATTAAAATATCAAAATCTTTATATGTACGAATTTAACAGCAATCGTTCGTATTAAAAAAATTATGTAAAATGCGAAATACTTATATGTAGTATTTTACAAAAATTTTTCTTAAGCATTCATGAAATTTAATAAAATATTATTTATAATAATCAGTTTTCACATGAATTAAAGGAGAAAGCGTCATAAATTATGGGCGCTTGAAAACAAATTTGGTTGTAAATATTGTACTTAAATAAGAGTAGTTATACTTTCATTTCCAAATTATTAACTTATTGAAAATTATAGAAAAAAAAACAAATAACCAATATTGGATACTTAACCAAATGATATATATAAGTATACATATATAAATATGTAGACATATAAGCATGAATACAATATTTTTTGTTCTATTTTTTCTGATACCACAGATTTCAAAACAATTTTTATTGATCTTGATATTAGTGACCCTTTAGATTAGACTAATGGCAATGAAAATACGAGCCCATATAAAAACCCTTACAAGTTAAATATCAACAGTACAGATTATTTTATCATTGTGCTAAGCCATAAATAAAAATAGTAGTGAGTATTGTTTTTACAATCTTATGTGAAATCTATTATTGTTTTAATAGATATAATTTAAAAATAAACATATAATGATTAAATCAGGGCAAGCTTTTAATTAAATAGTGTTATGTAAAATATGGTTTAATATAAAATCAGACACTATATTTTAATTTTATAAACTTGAAGTAGTCAAGATTAATATACTTGTACCATTACTAGAATTGATTATTTACAATTTTATAGAACGGCTTGTGTGGTTAAAAATCTACGATTCTGAGAACTTTATCTCGATGCTTTCTGGATGATTCGAAAACAGTAATACATCAGTCAAAATATTGATTTGGAATATTCTCAATTTTTATATAATTTTAATTACAGTAATATTTAAAAAGAAATTATTAAAAAAAACTCTACATTTTCATTATTTATTACATTTACTCTACATTTTATTATTTGATATAATAATATGTATTTATTAATGTTTCTAGATATGGCTAAATTAGTACATCTCCTGGTACTAGCCCTAGTGCTGATTTCGGCGCAAGCTAAAAACCTTCGTAAGCGCCAAGTATTATTACCAGGCCAAGGATCACCTTGTCAAACTGTTTGCCAGGTTTCTAATAATTGTCTTAATCAAGGATGTGGCTTACAACAAACAATAGGTCAATCGCAATATGTTCCATATGTTCAACAAGTAGCTGTACCTGTTCCGCAGCCATATCCTGTGGCACAGGCCGTTCCAGTACCACAACCTGTGCCTGTCCCACAGCCAGTTGGTGTGCCATATATGCATAGAGTTGCAGTTCCAGTGCCGCAACCGTACCCAGTTCAACAACCGGTTCCATATCCGGTACATGTTCCTGTACAAGTTCCAGTCCAAGTTCCTGTTCATGTTCCAGTACAAGTTCCAGTGCCAGTGCCAGTACCAGTACCTGGAAATCACAGTTCATCAGGATCAAGAAATGAGACCAGCTCTTCACAAAGTGAAATAACAGTACATAATCCTCTAAATAACACAAACATAGTGAATGTTACCACTCACATTAATTCAACAAATATTAATAATATATCTGTACCTACGGATCTAAAAACTTCTTCAAGCCAACCATCTTCGTCCAACAATTGCTGCTCTGTAGTAAGTCCACCAAGGTGTGATTCTCGTAGAAGATATTGTAGGAGAACAAGGTTTGAACGATGTGGTCATGTTTGCAACAATGCTAAAGTCATCTATTTAAAACCAAGAGTACAACCTGTATATATACCTAGACCAGTACCTGTACCTGTGCCATCGGGTTGCCATCATCAAGATCACTACCCATATGTGAGCTGCAGAGGATGTGAGTATTCGATATTGGATATATATATATATATATATATATATATATATATATATAATGGATAATCACCTGTAAAGTAGCAAAAGTCTTCCTAACAAAAAATACAATTAGTAATTTATTTAACTGCAATAGTACATTTGTTACTAATACGTCTCCTGAATCTAAATGTTTTATTTTTTTTATTTATTAATATAATTTCCAGCATGTTCAAGTTGCGGATCCTCAGGAGGAAGTTGCAATGCAGGTTGTTACTCCGATTACGAATCGGACGGATTCGTAGAATACGAAGATTACGAAAGTTACTGTGGTACTCATGGTGGACCCATGTGCGATTGAAATTAAATCATAATTATAAGAATTAAATCCTAATTTAAGAAACAATTATAAATATATTATTGTAAGATGTAACTAAATGTATATAATAATAAAAAAGTAATATTATTATTATTAGTTAAGTAAAATGAATGTTTTATCTACACTGTGCTATACCAAACTTTTTTTTCAGTATTTTGATTGCATAATAATACAGGCCGCTTATCTGTCCTATTAAATATAAAATGGCAAAAACATTTCTAAGAAACATAAAATAACGATTTATGAAACTTATAATTATTGAGCTACTCTATCAAAAATAGAACACGTCGATAACCTAATAGACTTCAGCCGAGTAAAAAATTCGACCTTCATCCAGCAACAAATTTATTAACTGCCGCGTTCAGATAAAAAAATTAAACTATGACCTGTGTATAATTAAAAAAATACTTAAAAATTGCGGAAAATAACTCTATTATACATTGACATTAATATAGATAATAAAATGATGAATTGTTTTTATTTGATTTATTTGAATATCTACATTGCCATATGAATCTACTAAAAACTAATTATACATTCAAATAAATATTACTCGAAAAAATATATTATTAATATATTAAGTATAATACTACACATTGCAAATAAATTCTACCATTGCTTATATTTTGCATAAAAGTTGGCAACTTATTTCTAACAGCAAGAGATATATTTATTCAATATTCTATAACAGATTATGTATGGTTTTATAACAGAAGTTAATTATGAAGCTTATTTTAAATTATTCTAATCTCGTTTAACTAACTAGTTGAGGCAGGTTATCATTTTAATCTTTATTTTCAATATTAGATTATTTTTTAAAGAGGTTTAATATTTTATTCAATATCTTTCAAGCATTAAAGCATAATCAAAATTTGATTTTTTGAATTGAATAGGTTAATATTTTCTTTGTCTGTCATAGTGCACAGGCCTAGAGTATGGATCGGGTCTAGAATAATTCTCGCGTTCATCTTTACAATGCCCATCTGAACAAAATGATCCCTCTGGGCATATAACATTTCTACAAGGATCTTCTGGAATACACTTACCGTAGGAACAAAAATAGTATTTTGGACAAGTAATAGTTTCGCAAGTATTACACCTGTGCGGTGGCACACATGTAGGAGGAGCAACACAACGTCCGCCTCTGCAAGTCTCTCCCGGCTGACAACTGATACCTCGACAAGGATCGCTCAAAACACAGCGTCCCTGCTGGCATTCCTCATTTTCTTGACATCTGATATTGGCACAAGGGTCTACAACGACGCAAGATCCGTACTGACATTCATGCCCAGGCGGACACCTTACATTTGAGCAAGGATCAACGGCGACGCACGTACCATTTTCGCATGCAAAATTTGATGGACATCGCACATTCACACATGGGTCAGTACTTATACAGGCACCATCCCTGCATCTGTAACCAGGAGGACACTGTTTAGTGAGACATCTATCAATTAACATGCAGCGTCCCTGACGACATTCGAACCCGCTGGGGCAATGTACCCCCGCACATTGATCAGTGGGTACACATGACCCATCTCGACACGCATATCCTTCCGGACAATGTTTATTTGAACAAGGATCTATTTGGGCACATTTTCCATCTAAGCAGTAGAAACCTCCAGGGCAACGCACGTTTACGCATGGATCTTGCTCTACGCAAGAACCATCTCGACATTGGAAACCGGATGGACATCTTATCATGCTGCATCTATCTTCTTGTACGCAATCACCTCCATAACACTGAAATCCATGTGGACATACAACTCCGGTACAGGGATCTGTTTCTATACATTGACCATCAATACATTCATATCTTGGCGGACATTGTACAAGAGAACAGCGATCGAAAGGCGTGCACGTTCCGTTTTTACATTCATACCCGGATGGACAACGTATAGTATCGCAAGGATTTCTTTCGCGTACTTGGCTAGATGATTTTATAGATCTATTATCTGCAAGATTCTCTGGATAATGCCTTGTTCTATCACATTGCCTGTCTCTACAAGAATCAGGTCGATGTTTTGGTACACATTGACCTTCTCGACATTCTTGGTCTTCTGAACAAACTACATTGCTACACCAATCTATTGGATAACATTGTCCGTTATAGCAAGCTTGACCGTCTGGACAATCGTTTGAAGAGCAAGATTGAGTGCGCGTACATCTACCATTTTCACATCTGGACCCTTTTGGGCAAGATGTATCACGACAGTCGACTCTATCTTCAGTGCAATGACCACCTTCCACTTTATACCCGGGTGGGCAAGAAGTTTGAGCTGAATGTTCTGGCACGCAATGTCCATATTGACAAATCCAGCCTCTGTCGCATCGAACTCTATCACAAGTATCGTCTGCAAAGCATCTGCCATCGTAACAACGTGTGCCAATTGAACATCTTATGTCTTTACATCGATCAACTTCCATACACACTCCGTCTTGACACTGCAATGATCCGGGACAACGAACTCTTTCACAAGAATCTATTCTGATACAACCTCCGTCTTCGCATCTTGAATTAGGGGGGCATCTGACGTTTGCGCATCTATCTTGTACTACACAATCACCATCTTCGCATTCTGATCCTTGAGGACATGACACATTATAACATCTTTCTTGAACACACGTTCCATTTGCGCATTTTGTTCCGTGAGGACAACGCATTCCTCTACAATAATCTTCAGGAATGCAACGTCCATCATCACAAATATATTGAGGTGGGCACCTCACATCGCGACACCTATCCTGCGGAATGCATTGACCCTCACGGCATTCATAGCCGCTGGGACATCTTTGATTGGCACACAAATCGATGCAACGACCATTTTCGCAACTTAATCCTTTCTGGCAAGTGATTCCTTCACACAGGTTTTGAGGAGTGCATCTACCATTACGACAAAAGTAACCTGGATTGCACCTCACATTAACACACGAAAGGTCATCCCTTTCGCAAGCTCCTAATCGACACACAAATCCTTGACCGCATCTTATATTTTCGCAAGGACGATGCGCAACAACCGCCAACGCCGCGGATATAAATATTACGTAATACAACATTAGCATTAAATGACTCGTTATTGAACCAAATTATTTTATTGGGTGAAATTACACTTTTCTTTGTATACATTTAATAGCACTGAGCCATACAGTTGTTTATACTCATTTTATATATTCCATTAGATAAGAATTATGTTCTGTCACAAACTAACCCCTGACCTTAAGTGCAGTTATGAATTGGGTCATGATCGAAATACATTATTAAATAATATAAACAAAAGTCAAACTTATTGTAGTAAACAACTAAACAAATAATGAGTTATCGATTCTTGTAAAATTAGATTAGATTGATACTATGTTTTATTTAATAATAAAATCATTAAAACATAAAACTGAAGATATAATTTAAAATAAAATGATAAAATATAAAACTTGAATAGAAAGATATAAATTCATGCAGTTTAGTTGATTATTCATACCAAATAAACTACATAATGACAAGGAAGGCTAAATTCTACGAAACTTTTGACACACATTGTGAGATTATTTAATTATAATCAAACAGACTAGATATGAAACAAATAGTTTTTTTGTACATTTTTTAAGTCTAATTACGTGAAGGATTGTGTTAAGGCATATGAAGTATGAAAGTGATCATCAACAAAGATTAATATCAGTAGAAAGAACAAATCATACGATTAAATAATATACGTGAAGTTTGCAAATATGTATTGATTGATTATTATACTGCTTTTTAATACTCAATTTATCCATTTTGTTTTTACAGGGCCGAATTTACTAATAGTATATTCACTAAAAGTAAATTAGTAATAGTATAGTGTCATTCAAAATAAAGATGTTTATTTTAAATTCACTACATTCGTAAAATACAATTTGGTTTGAGATAATTTTTATATTGAAAATAAAAAAAAATCTTACCTATTGTAATTTATATATAAAATACACAATGATACATACATACATTCATATACCTTAATTTGTCATGAGCAGACTATTTCATAATGAATTCTATAGAAATAAAAGTTCAGTTTATCCATACATATTATACTAACAGTCTTATGATAAAAATTAATAGAAACATTCATAATAAAAGTAATTAACACTAAAAATATTAAAAGCTAATAATAGTCTAGAATTAGTCAAATAATCAAATAATTATCAGTTATATAATCATAATTGTACTATATTTTTGAAGGAATCTGTTCTGTTCTCTTTGAATGCTCAAAGTTCAACAATATTCAAATTAGAACTTGATGTTGAAGGCAAATTAACATCCTCTGGGGCAATAAATGTTCCAATAGGCTGAATAGCTTGTTGAATGTCTTCTAATTTTTCCATTTCTACCCTTAATTTTTCTAAAATGGCATAATTAGGCTGATTTATTGCAGCTTTACTTTGCAATAAGGTGATTTCTTGTTCTTCTTGTTTTTTCTCTTTGAAGCTTTTCACAGATCTACTACCATAAAGACGCAGTAGTGAACCCCAACTTGAAATATGAGGATGAAGAGCCTATATTATAAAAAAATTAAATTGAAATATTTCAAGTCAAAAGCATATTAGACATTTTACATGTATTAGATTTACGCTGAAAAATCTGAAAAATATTCAAAACACACAATAAATATATAAATATCAATACAAAAATGCATTAAACATTAGGCACTTACCTGCAAAATAGCTTGTGAAGCCCTCTGCTTACCATCTCGCTTATTTTTGCATATAACCTTTGCAACATGCTTACCGACGGTCATGGTAAACTCATTCTTTTGATGTTTAACGGTATTTACTTCATAGTTAATATGCATGTTCCCCAAACCATAATTTCTTTGTAAACATGTTAATAAAATCGTATGAGGTGAAGGTTCTGTCGTCTTAGCACAAAATTCAGCTACCCGTGGATCCTCAATTTTTATTTCATCAAAGAACTAAAAATGTCATGATTAAGTGTTCTTAGCCCAAATAAAGTACTATTATGAACATATTATATATAAACTATATAGGGTCAATGGCTAAAACGTATCCGTAATGATTAATTTTTTTTAATAAGTGTGTGATGTATATGATTTATAAATAAAACTAATATCAAAGTTTCTGTAAGAATTTTCTGGGGTTCAATAGTGATGATTATATGATAGAAAACTATAGAAAATCCTTCTAAAAAATTCATACTGTTTGTTGTTTATGCTTTTATCTTACGATAGTAATAATATTCTTATATTATCACACATATCACAGATAGAATTCTACATTCACTAATTTCAATAAAGAAACTGTATCAAAAATAACTATATGATAAAAATAAAAATTTTAGCTACTAATAATAATTTTCAACAATAATAGTATTTTCATAAACTTACCGAAAGATCTTGATCTTGAGACCGGTTTGCATTACCTGACGCTCTGTTATCTGCTGCTATTTTTTCACGCATTTCTGGAATAAGAATTTCCAGTGTAGCTCGTGCTGCATCACTCTTAGCTTGTTTTTTACTAGTGCCATATCCAACACCATAAAGCATGTCATTTATAGAAACCGTAGCTGAATACGGTGTTGCAGCATTTTCTGAAAAACAGTTTTATTTTCAATAATACTTAATAAACACTATAAATAATATATTAAATTTAGATAATATAAAATAAATTAATAAAATAGTTTGTTTAAAAATATTTTACCTAATTCTTTAAATTCGTAAGAAGGCTGTTTCTTTAGTGCATGCTGCACATACTCATGTAAAATACAAACATAACTTTTTCCATTAGGATTCATTATAAATTCCTTTTTATTCCTATGATTACTTTGGCTACTATTGTCAGTATCAGTAGTGACTACAGGGCATGTTATAAGTTTTGTACCATCAGGTAATGTTGGTCTTTGCAATTGCTTAATATTTTTTCTACTTCGAGTGAATTTTCTTCTTGCACTCCACGACCTAAAAAAAAAAATTGGGAATAAATTTGAGAACCCATTAATAGGTTCATACAAAAATTATTTTAAAAAATACTCACTTGAATCTCATGACTTTGATTACTTTGAATTTAAATAAATTAGAACAATATTCTCGTAATTGTTCTGGACTAAGACTTTGACTTGCTAAATTTTCTTGTGCTGTTTCTATTTTAGCGCATGGTAGAGATAAGGAAGCATTTACTGCATTATTTTCAGGATTAGAATTTGAATTACTTGTAAAATCTTCCACCCCATTTGAATTTTGATTACTAGAATATCCATTCACACTATTTCCATTTTGATGAAATGTAGGATTTACCTCGGGCTTTATGTCAGTATTTAATTTTTCTAAAGCTTTGCGATAACTTAAACATGGTATGGCGCTCAATGGAATTTCATGTTTCTAAATAATTTATTTTTAATTATTATTAATAAATAAATAAGTATTGGGCATGGTATATACTTTATAAATATGTATTTTTCATATATTATTCATACTTTACCCTAGAACTTCCAGGTCCTAAAAAATAAGGTCTGGACATGCAGCAAACCCTACTTGCTCGATGTAAGTAAATAGGCATCCCACTATTATGCGTAACTTGTATCCATCCCTCAGGTAAAACCTCAAAATGGTTTTGAAACAATTCTGCAAAAATATTCAGTTAAACGAAAATTAACCTGCTGTATAATGTGCAATGTACATATGTAATAATATATAAAATATTTACATATGAAAAGCTAACACATAAAATATTTACAAAAAAGCCATTTATTGTTATTTATTTATGCAGATGAACTATATCACAAGTGATCTATCAAATCAACTTCCTCCTAAATACCTTCTAATACAGTTTTAGATGAATCTTCATAGCGAGAATCATCCCCAAGTTTACCACGAAGATTATCAGGAAGACCAGCTTCAAGCATAGCCTCAATCTCATCATCTCCAACTTCCGATCCACTATAATCTATGAAAAAAGTTATGTTTACGTAGGATTTTCATTTTCCATGGTGCATTGATATGATATGGTACTATAAATCATGCAATTCTAATAGAGTCAGTAAGTTTGTATTTATACACAAACATATAGAGTTGTTATATAAAATTATCACCTTTATCTTGATCTGAATCAGACATATCATATGTAGCTTCATCCAAGATGTGAAAATGTCGATTTGAATGTTCATTTTGGTTTTGTTCTTCAGTGCTATTATTTTCCTTGTAACTTGTATTGGATTCATCTTGTTCTTCTAATTCCAATTTTATCTTCTTAGATGCATATTCACAAGCCATCTTATTAAACTATATGTCGAATTTGGTAATACCACAAAATCCAATGTTAGAAAAATCCAATGTTAATTGAGTAATTGGACATCTACATTGAACAAATGCAGTAAACCGAATGCCACTTATAATGTATATACTTATAAAGGTTTTAAATTTTAAAATTTATTACATAATTAAATTGTAAAAAAATAATATGCTAAAGAATAATTTATTAGGTTTGTATAATACACTACTACATAAAATAAAAATAAAATAGCTATCACAAATATTATAATTAGTTCTAAATATTCCTACTATTTACACCACGTTATTTAAATATGAACATACGATCCGGTTGCGAAAGATTTATTCATAAAATTTATAGTATTCATAACAAGTACATGCTACCAAAGTACCGAATTTTCACATAATATATTTATTTCTGAGATAATTATCGATAATCTCCAACAACCCAATAAAGTTCACACATTCATAACAAATAATAATCATTATTGCTTAAAAATAATTAAAGGTAGACGTGTAATTTAGCACCCCAGGTGCATTTTTGTGCAGCCATAATGCAAGAAATACGTTGACAGCTGTTCCATAGATAAAATTGAATATACTATTTAAGTGTTGCCTGGTGACATGCGACGGTGTAAATCTGCATTTTTATGCATTTTTAAAATCGAATTGGCAATAATCCGAAAGTCGAAATAAATCATTACCCAAATCATCAAACTTTACATAAATAGCTTACATTACACTAATCTGAAGACCTGACTGCATTACAAACAAAAATCTTCAAACAGTGAATCTATTATTTTTACTCTCTGTGGAATTTACTTTTGGTCATCAATGTCAAATGTCAAATGACAATGACAATGTCAAATTCAAAGATAAAAGAAGAGTATGTCAAGAGTGGTCAAATTGTCAAATCAGACTAAATGTCAGTTGATGTCAGAGATTCTGATGCTGAATGAATTTAAAATGTTTGTTTTTGAAAAATCGACATAATTTAAACTTATTGTAATTTAACAAGTATATTATAAATACATTACGATATATAAACAAGTTTAAATATAATTGTGGGCTATTCGAAAATTAAATTACGTTTTTAAGGTTATAAAAAGTGTAAGAAACTTTTACTACAATGGCTACTTCGAAAACTACTAATACGTACAACCGACAAAATTGGGAAGATGCTGTAAGTTGGTTGATTTATAAACGTAATTTATCAAAATTCATACCAAAATTTAAATTTTCAGGAATTTCCAATTCTTTGTCAAACTTGCTTAGGGGATAATCCTTATGTTCGAATGGTAAGTAAAAAATACAATTAAATTTACTGGCGCATATTTAATTTTATAATATTTTAGACAAAAGAAAGATATGGTAAAGAGTGTAAAATATGCTCTCGACCATTTACAGTGTTTCGATGGTGCCCTGGTGCGAGAATGCGTTTTAAAAAGACAGAAGTTTGCCAGACTTGTAGCAGACTTAAAAATGTGTGTCAGACTTGCTTATTAGATTTGCAGTATGGCTTGCCAATTCAAGTTCGTGATGCAGCACTTAAAGTTGAGGATGATTTACCAAGAAGTGATGTTAATAAAGAATATTACATTCAGAATATGGATAGTGAGGTATATATCAAGATTGTTTCTAAATTTGAGGCTACTTTTAAAGGTCTTAAGATCTATTTATATCATTTTGTCTAAATTTTTTTAGATGGCCAAAGGTGACAAAATTCACCCTTCAGGGGCAGTTGGAAAAGTTGAAGGCTCTAAGAGTGAACTATTGATGAAATTAGCAAGAACTGCGCCTTATTATAAAAGAAATAGACCACATATTTGTTCATTCTGGGTTAAAGGTGAATGTAGAAGAGGTGAAGAATGTCCATATCGTCATGAGAAACCAACAGATCCTGATGATCCATTAGCTGACCAAAACATAAAAGACAGGTATGAATGAAGAGGGTTTATTGTAGATTATTCTTCACCTTTATTCAAATTCTAAAAATAAAATAATATTTATGATAGATATTATGGTGTGAATGATCCAGTAGCCGAAAAATTAATGAAAAGAGCTGCCAGTATGCCTCAGCTAGAAAGTCCATCAGACAAATCTATAACTACACTTTATGTAGGCAACCTTGGTGATAAAGTTTTGGAAGCTGATCTCAGGTATATATATATTCATTACTATGGGATTTAAGATTATGTTATAAGCTTGTATTAAATATTTTCCATTTTAGGGATCATTTTTACCAATATGGAGAAATTCGTTCAATATCCGTTGTAGCAAATCATCAGTGTGCTTTTATTCAATATACAACAAGAACTGCAGCTGAAATGGCAGTTGAAAAAACATTCAATAAATTGATTATCAATGGTCGCAGATTGAATATTAAATGGGGAAAATCACAGGCTAGTAGATCTAAGGATGCATCTGAAATTATCACAACGGTAAGATACTTCTTAGAGAAGCTAAGTTCATAGCATCATATATTATTTTACAATTTAAAAATTACAATTTTTTTCAGCCTGTTCCAGGATTACCTGGTGCCTTACCATTGCCACCACCAGAACTTGATACAAACTACTTTAATTTGGATCAAACTCCTTTCAAACCCCATCTTATGGGTCACATGATGCCACCGAGACCTCCAATGCCACCTAATTTTATGCATATGCTCAGACCTCCAATGTTTCCACCCTTCAATCCAGAAATGAATTATTCTATGCCACCAAATATGCCACCAGCTCAAGCTGTCGCCAGCACATCTACTGCTGAACAGCACCCTAACATGCCTGTGCATTATCCAAGTCAGGATCCCAACAGAATGGGAGCGATACAGAAGAATGAAATGTAGACAATGAAAATATTGTTTATATAGAATAATTTTAAATTGTAATTGAATGATTTTATTTTAAATAAATTGTATAATTCTGATCAACATTCATTTAAATTTTTTTGTTCTTTAATTTGTTGCTCATAATTTAATAACTCAATTAGTAATTCAAGTTTTGATCCATAAGGTAATTAAAAATAAATAATTATGTAATGTAATAATAATTACCTATATTTGCTGTTTTTACTTTAGAAAATACATATTCAATTTGGAAGAAAAATTATTTAGGACTTTAAGGAGAATAAATAGGATTTGCTTGAAATTAGAACTTCTTATGATTTATTAAAAAATGTGAGTAATTTATAAACATTTTTATTTCAATAATTTATTACATATAAATTATTACATTTTTACTTTTCAAATTTTTATATTTAACAATACGATATATATAACGATATATATATATATATATATATATATATATATATATATATATATATATATACATATAACATATTTTTATGGGCTTCTTTTTGGTGGTTATTGGATCGTACATAAAGAGAGCAACTCCATGACAGTGTTTCAAATAATACTGTCGACGGATAGCTCTCTTCATTTACAAATCCATCTTTTAAAATCTGAAAAAATAGATATTCAATCATTAAAATAATATGATAAAATAAACATATTGTAAAATATAATTTTATAAACACATTAAATGAATTGAGAATGATTTTTTTGTGATGAAAGAATCCTGAAGAATCCTATTGCTAGAGTTTTTAATTTCGTCTTGAAGAAAATTATTATAATAATTTCATTCTCACTTCAAGCAGTTTTCTTAAATATTTCAAAATTAATAAATTCCCTAAAAAGAAACAGGAAAAAACGATTTTCTTTGTCGACGTTTAAAGTCAATCTGAATCGTTGAACCCCATTTTTAGAAGGAAAGAACGTGAGACAAAAAATTCGACTTTAGTGAAAAAGTTCGACAATGTTTTCTTATAAAATCCTTACCGATTTTGAAAATTTAAACATTTTTGCTGGTTATCGTTCTGATTGGTTTTCGGTAAATTGGCCGGACCGTTTTTTGTAATTAAGTAATGTTTTTTTTTTCTTTGACCGGTAATAAAACTTTGTATGTCGATAGAATTCATTGTGTTAAAGATCATTGTAAAATATTATAAACTTATGAAAAGTGTTTTAATTACAATTCCTTAAAGTTTAAAATAATGAGCCACATTATTACCGCAATATACACCGCTTATATATATATATATATATATTAGGGTTTCTACAAAAACCGACATTTCAGAAAACCGGTTTTCGAATTTTAATTTTACTAAAAAACCGGTTTTAACCGGTTTTCGAATTTTATATAGAAAATAAATTTTTGCTCGAATATTGTGTAATTTATCCGCAAATTTAGTGTAATTTAGAGCAGTATTTGACTGAATTCATTTATTGTTCAATTTTATAGATAGTAAACAAAATCATGTTGATTTTAATTAGTAGAACTGAAAAATAATAGTTTATCTTGATTAAATAACTCACTCATGCATCATTTTCACATACAAGAATGAAAATATTTTTATGATAGTGAAAGGAAAGTTTTCAAATAAATAAAAATAATACATTTTTAAATAAAAAAACTGAGAACGTGTATCGAATTGCTACTTAATGACCTTTATTGTTTCTAACAAAATTTTCTGAAATAAAAAATACTCTCATACTTTCAACCAAATTATGCTTAATTCTTTTTAAAGCCTGATATAATAATTCTAAGTTTTTTGTTCTTTAATTTGTGGCTTCTAGGGTTTAAAACTTTTTTTTTAGTTTGAGTAGAGGAAGTTACTTCTTCTAGAAGAAATCACACTGATTTAAATTAATATATATATTGGTATAAAAATCTAAATTAATATATACAAAAACTTTCTGGGAACCATTGCAGACTGATAACATATTAAATGTTATTGAACTGATATGATTTCAAGAATCAAAACGCTTCCATCTATCTTTTATATTTGGCTATATTTGTCATTTTCCACTTACATAGTGAAAACCGACTTTTTTTACTAAAAAAACGGTTTTCGAATTCCATAATTTTCGCCAAAAAACCGGTTTTTAAAACCGGTTTTTGAAAACCGACAAACCATAATATATATATATATATATATATATATATATATTAGAAACGTTTTCGTTTTTAATATTCAAACTACTTGTCGAATGTAACTAGCATGTTTAGCAAATTTTACAAAATTAAATAAACTATATTGTTTTTTTAACATTATAAGGTACTAAGTAAAGCAACTCGTTAAGAGGGTCTTTTTCAATATGATGACCACGATTTCTTGAGGTCTACTGGACCGATTCACTTAAAACTTTCAGACAATCTTCTTTAGAGATTTTCCTCGAGCATATATTAGCCTCATCCCCATATTATAATTTTTACTATTAAAAAAATTCGAGAAACTAAGGGAAGTGTCAAGAAATATTGTCTTTTTTTAAACAGTCCCTATTTTGTCAAGTGGCAAGAAATATTGTCTTTTTTCAAACAGTCGCTATTTTGTCAGTTTTTTTTTGTCCTTAGTATATTTCATTGCGACATTATTTTAGATATAGATTAATAATCTTGTTTTTCATTTGGAATTTCTAGGATTGCAATCGTGGCATTGTCAAATGTTCAATTTTTGAGACCCCCGACTTCAAAAACTGCTATTTTTTTAACTTTTTAATTATTTGCACTTTTGTAACGACGACTAATAAATCATAAGAAAATTATTGATAAAAATGGATATACATCTAATTTTTCTGAAATGTTAATAAAACTTATATAAAAGAATTATTAATCATAAATTAATTGTTCTTACTAAGCAATGAAAGAGTATCAAAATCAAATAGACTGTAGATATCGAATTGTTTCAATTGGTGAATAATTAAATGTTAATAGCATCAATAAATTAGAGTTCTTTAATTATCAGATTTTTAATTATCAAATCCAAAATGCATGTAAGTCAGTAATTTTAGTCTGTTTCTTCCAATGCCGTTCTAAGTTACGTCAGGTGATATTTAGGTCATATTCTTTTGAGATCGGTGTATCTTCATTTGTGTACTGTTCAAATTAAACATCTCGACTCGTGATCGAGTGGAAACCTTCTCCTATGTATTAGTCCACGTATTATATATTTACGGTGGCACGTGCATCCATAATTTCATAAGTTTCACGTCGCCTCATTATTTATCATTTAAAACTGTATTGTCAGACATTTTACTGCACTGCTCTTGTTCTTATCTTCGAAGTTATTAATACAGAATGTAAATAGGTGTACTTATTTACTCAATGATTTATACTATTTTTAAATTTCAATGCTCTGTATCTTCTTGTTCGTTCTAAATGAACGATAGCACGACTTTCTGGATTTTGAGAATTCAGAGGAATTATATTGTTTGCCTGCAACAGTTAAAACGTTAGATGTTTGTCGTAGTGCTTTATTTAAAACTTGCTAATGAACCTCTTTTGAATTTTATATTTTAGTCATTACTATTTGGTTCTGACTTTTTATGCATTTAGTTATATAACCCAATTTATGAAATATCTTTTATTTCAATCATTATTAGATTTATTTAATAATTACATTTTAAGTACAATAACAATTAATTATTTGGCTTCAAATTGCTTTACAATTCTGTAAAGCTTTCGAAAACCGTTGACTGTTTTCTAACGTTCAACGTTAACGTTTTTCAAATCAAAACTACGTGTTCTATCTTTAGGCAACCCACCGGTCAACCAGCTGTTTTTTACCAGATGTTGTCTACATTAGACATGTATAATATCCACGAAAGTTGATGGAAAATTGATATCATACTGGTTGATATCGAGATGGCCGCCATTGGGATCTAATCCGGGACTAGTTTGTGCTAGCCTACGTTTTTAGTCATTACAACACGATAGGTTCGTTGATTTTCATTTGATCACATTAACGTTGTTCTGTATTTAAAAAAAAATAGTAACCTTCTTTCTTACTTTGCAATATGCATTGCCAACTATGTAGTCAAGCGGTAAAAATTGATTCATTTTGTCATTCGATTTAATGAAAGACATGCTGGAAAATAATATATGTATATATATATATATGTATGAATAATGTATATACATATAGTTACTAAAAAAATGTATGAAAACAACCTTATTATTTATTTCACGCTTTTGGCGGGACATCCCTAATTTTGCTGATGTGAAACCAATATTTGTTCTGTACTTGTTTATTTCATTTTAGTAATATTTTTAAGAGTTTTTTGAATTCATTTTTTCCTAAATTTCATAAATTTACATTTCCGTTCTTAAAAAGTAAATAATTCTACCTGCTTTTTCTGTTCTAAAAACAAATTTCACAGTTCCCTATTGATCTGTATAATCTGGTCTATAGCTTCATTAATTTACATTTTTTTTAACCTTTATGATTTTAAATTAATATAACAAAAAGGTGCAATATCTAGTTAGAAAAATGAACTGTTTTTGTGTTGACTACAAAATAAAATTAAAAGAGTACCTTTTTATATCATTTTGCTGGAAACAGTCTGTGCCTTAAAACTTTAGGTATATATATTTCATATGTATATATTTTTTATCTTAAACTAATAAAATGCTTATAATGAATCGTAACGATAATTATCCTTTTGTATCAGAGTTTATTATAAAACTTTTATGGCAGTAAATCTACGCACGTGCTTTGTAATGAAAACGACAATTAACGTTACGACCAAAACTATTATATTCAGTATATAAAATGATATTTCCTACATGGGAATAACACATGACTTATTAGTCAAGAAGTTCTCTTTAATGTGCATCTGCATTTATTTGATGTTACATTTAAAGTTAATAGTTTTTGTACTACTGATGGCAATAAAATTTTACTAATGCCATGCCATCAGTGGCCAGTCAGATCTAAAATGATTATTAATTTCGAGTTTTTCTTAATGAGTAAATTATTTAATGTGTAACACTAATATTATATAAGAAAACACCGCAGTCTGTGGTTTAGTAGAGCCATATTTTTCTATTATTTAAAATACAGGTTAATTAAATTATGAAAATTAGTAACCTGGTGCCCATTGTCTTCGAAAGCTCTAACAAATTTAATTTGTTCAACAAATTTAAAAACGCACACTAGAAATTTCAATTTTACTAATAAATAGAGACTTGATCTTGTCTTCTGAAAATTCGTACTGTGGATTACTAAAAAACAATGCAATATAAAATAAATGCACTGGGGCACGTGTGGAATTAATTTCTTGTTTTTTTGATTATTACATTAAGAATGTAAAAAATAAAATTTTAAATCGAATCTTATTTTTTCTATCAATTTGCTTCAGAGACAGCCTGGTTCATTACATCTATTCGTCTTATGGCAATTATATTAGTCATGCAAAATTTGATTTATATGTTAAATTTAAATGTGTATATAAATGTGAAACCACTAATGAGCAGAACGTTTTATTAAATTATATAATCAATATTAAAGCCTTATCTTTAAATATTATTGATGTTAATACTCTACGGGTTTTGTAACAATTAAGTTTAATTAAGTTTGGATATTAAATCATAAAATGATCTACAAGAAAAATTACTATTAACTGATAAACTTTCAATTACGTATAGATAAAGTAAAATTTATCAAACAATGAACTTTTTAGACGGCCATTATGTAAAGACAGCAATTCTATGCAGAATGATTCATGTCGATTTCTGATATAAGTTCTGCACATTATATGCTGTTATCGGTATTTATATATTTTATCAATTTGAAAATATATTTTTATGCGACATTGTAGATTATTCTCGGAGTTACCTTGATTAAAAGTTAATAAAACTTTGCGGGTGTGCCCGTTACGCAACCTGTATTGCGTTTAAATTCAAAATTATAAGAATATAATAAAAGTCTCCTTAGGTAATTTAATAAAAATTTAGGATTTTTTAATGTTACACAAGGGCTATCTAATACTGGAGTAAAGATTAGATACTTAATAGTACATTAAATTGGTTTTATTTATAAAAGCTTGATTTTTATTTGAAATGCATAGTAATTAAGTTATTATTTGAACATTAATTTGTTAAGTTTCATGTAGTTTTATTCCAAAATTGTAAACGTGTTTAAAATACATCATGCAGTACATACCCAACCGATACTCAGTAATTATCACTTTGCGAAAATTCAATAAATCACATCACAAAACAAATATGTTTTCGTAACTAATCTTGTTTGCCTTTCTGCTTTTTTGATAAAGGGAGTTTTTGCCATCTGGTCCATAGTAAAATTTGAATTTCAATTTTAGGTATTACTTTATAGAATTGTTATCACCGAGTAAGTATTTGTGGTGATATGAGCGGTGCTTATATAGAGTCGTGATGTGACGCGTGTTTTCTTATCGTTAACACCTGAAATACCCATAACATGCGTTAAGTACAAGTACAATCCACACAAAAACTAATATCAGAGCATACAGGTGAATGGAGAGAATAGAATTCGATTTACTATTTTGAAAATTTTAAGAGAAAATTATCGGAAAATACTTATAAAAATCAGACAAAAGTTCTGCGTTTTAGAAGCTTTTATGTTAGGATAACATGTCGATTGCTAAGTTAGTATATCATGTTATTAATAGTGTAGTATAATATAAAAATTAATGAACATATACGAATAGACGAACAAATATCGATACACCGAGAGTCCAAGCAGAGCCAATCAAATTTAATATTTTTACTTGACTCTTTGAAAAATTGGAATCAATTCTGGGAACATAATGAAATTTATAATCTCATATGATATTATATATTGATTTTATTTTCTGATTATTAACGAAGAGCGTCCATTTTTTTTCATTTTTTTATTTATAAGTATTTTCTACTTTTTGAGGATGCAGGATGTCCGCTTCAGAATGAAACCGTTTTTTTTAATTTTTTTTTTTTAATTTAAAACTCTCATTAAAAATCGAATTGTACCTACTTACATTTACCAAAAATTATGATTAAGATTTTGAAAAGTCTTACTAAAACAACTTTGATTTCAATAATTAAAAATTCTTGAGGAAGAGACATCCCATCACGATCACGTAGAAAGTATTATAATTGAATAATTAAAGAAATATTATTTTAGAAGGCTTTTAGTTCAAGTATATATATATATATATATATATATATATATATATATATAAATTTTATTATATATATGGCACCTTTAAAAATATATCAGGAAATGGTCAATTAACGTTTTCACTTTGTGGACCTTCACAATGCAATATTTTATAAATTTTGCATCATGAGACATTTTTCCCTATATGTTAAAGAGGACATTTATAACATAAAATATTTTTTATACTGTGAAAAATGCAATAATTATTTAAAAAAAAAAGAAAACATTAATTATTGCGTACTGAATTTTATCATCTGCAGATATAGAGACATTATTAGGTGCAAAACCTTTAAGGATTCCAGCAGACTTTCGAATTTAATTTAAAGTTTTTAATTAATATTTACCACGTTCGATTTTTTTGAGCTTAACTCTTCTCCTCGTGTACTTAAATATCTAAATACCATAAATAACAATATTATCTAACAAATATCTTAATCTGTAATTATTGGTGGGATCGGTCATTAATTTAATTGGTAGGATATATCTTTATAGTATATATTATCTAATGAATATTGGGCCAACTTAAAGTGTATTTTACACCATAAAACCGAAATTCTTTATTTCTGACCTATCATATCTAGGTACTTAATTTAAATATCTCTTATTTTAATTTATTTTACTATAGATTTTCTATATTATTTTACTATTATATGTTTCAAAATGGCATTAGATTGCAAGGAATGGTATTTGTACCAATTAAGTAGGTAACTATAGTCACAATATTAAGTCTGATAAGAATCCTATTTTAAACCGTGATGCAAACATCTATAAATTATAAACCTTATCATTTCATTGTAAATATATTACATTGTTTATATAACACGAAACAATTTATTTGTTTAAAGACGCCAACTTGCCGTCACATATTAAAAAGCGTTTCATTTAATTACTGTGCGCTATGTTCTTTTTTAGTATAGTTAAAAATTGGCTGTTCATGTAATATTTGAAATATTATTTATTTTTAAGTAAATAATACTCTAATAAAATATTACTTTACTCCCCGAAGGAGAAGTTTATGTTTTTGCCAGAAAATCCGGCGTTTCAAGTCATTTAGAATCATTTAAGACAAAAATTGGAAAAAGTTCGTCGATGTCGATAATAGATTTAAATATATATTATTTAAACTTTTTGCAATTTGATTGTGTATTTTAAAATTGAATTCAGTATTACCCACAGAATTTTGTAAATATTTAATATGCATTTTATTTTCAAACGAAAAACTTATATCATCAAATTAATGCCCTCATTCTACAATTTTATACAATTTGCAGGAAATATAACATAATTTTTAACAAGCATGATTTTTTTTTTCTTAAATATTTCAGTTATGAATATTATTCGATTTTAATAAAAAATATAGTATAAATTTTTATCAAATAATTATATTTTAATATATAAACTTGATAATAAAATAATTATAAAAATATGTCTAATGTTATCGTAAAGTCTTATCTATTTACAAGTTATTATACATTTAATAAAATCTGTTTGTCATATTATAAAATTATTAATACTAGTTACATATACAATTAGTTACAACAACTTAAAACAGCAAAACTATACCCAAAACCAGTCCCAATTTTAAGGCAATCATTAGCTAAGAATGTTTTTTCGATCACAACATCACAATTTTCTATTCCACAATTGCAGTGCTCATTCCATCCCCAAGTATAAAGAATTCGATCATTATCAATACACAAGCAATGTTCACTGCCCAATGCTAAAGAATATACATTATTTATTACTACAGGTCCTGATGATGTCCCTGTTAACTGGCCATAATTATTTCGACCCCACAATATGGCATTACCGTCTACAGTCGAAATAGCATTATGAGTCCAACCACAAAGAATTTTGCTATCTATTGGTAAATAATCACATATCAATATTCTTTTTGGTACATATATTATTGAATCAGGGCTGTTGGCACAAATTTGATGAAAGCGATTATCACCAAAACCATAAAGTTCTCCATTAGCTGTAAGAGTTATTGTATGATTTTGACCACAAGCTACTTTAATAATATCATGCATATCTGGAACAACTACTAATTTGGACTGTTTTACAGGATTTTTCAATTCATCAAATAAACAAAGTTGGCCTTTAGAATTTGATCCTGCTGTAGCTAATGAACCATTTTCATACAAAATTGCCATATGCCGTAAACCCATTGATATACTTCTAACAGAATAATCTAACACATGAGGTTTGTAATAATTCGATTTATTTGATAAACCTAATTGTAAGTGTGAATTTGAACCCCATACTAAGGCTATATTATTTTCAGTCAAAGCAATGGTTGAGTTCCAACCACAAGCAATATCTCTAACTAAATGCTCTCCCAAGGAAACTATTAATTGAAATTCGGTTGCATTTTGAACTTGCTCATCTAAAGCTAACTGGCCATTTTTATTGGATCCGCAACCATAGACTTGCCCTGATTCAAGAATTATAAAAGAGTGTCCTCCACCACCAATTACTTTAGTAATAGAGTTTAATTTTGAAAAATGCACTACTGATGGTTTTGGACATTGTTCTGAAACAAGCCCTTGTCCTAACTGACCATGTGAGTTAGCACCCTGAAAAATATAAAAAACATAAATTGTAAATCATATTACATATAAGCAGAATAGTTTCATTAATATGTATTCAATAGCTGAGAGCGAATACAACAAAAAATCAATCAAATTCCAAGAGTTAGTATCATGAATTCACTGAAATTCAATTCTGATATAATAGATTCTTGTTATAGTAGATTTTAATATAATAGAGTACAACAATAGATTTTATTTTATAGTGATAAACTTACCCATGAATACAAATTAAGCATTTTTAATAAGTTTAAAATTCACCTTAAAAGTTTACTGTTTCTGTCAAAATCTGATAGTCAAAATCTGACAGTTTAACTGTCAAAATGGAGGAACTGTCAAGAACATGCAAAATTTGTTGGTTATGAAATAAATATAGCTAAATAATTGAATAATCATAATATTTTTAATATAAACAGTAATTAATAAGTTTAAATTTAAAATTGAGTACTTAAATTATTAACTATATCAATAATTACATATCGGCTACCAATTTTGTAATTACATCTCAAATATCTTGTTTACTAATATCGACGTCATCACAGCCAGTCATGACAGAAGAAAAGATCTCAATGGTCAGTTTGTGATTTGAGAGCGATTTCGACTGTATAATGTTATTAAAATCAATTTAATTTAAACAGTTTTAATTTCGATCTTAATATTTTTATTCTAACGTTAAAATTCTAATATACAAGGTGCATGGTTTATAAAGAATAATATTTGTTCTTGCGTACTTTGCAACATTTTTGTTTAATTATTTTTTACTTAATTTATTAAAATGCTGCCTGTGCGTTACATATTTCAAAAATCTTGTCGATGTAAGTACTGTTGTATTCAATTATTTTATATTAAAATAAATTGATATAGTTTGCACTATGTGAAATATTTTAATTATCATTTAATCTGACATTCCAAAGGTCATTTGAGATATATTTATATATAGGGCAAATTTCATATGCTTTTGCATTCTTTTATTTCTTTTTATTTTTAAACTATTTTCATTATATAGTATATAATTTTGCATTAAATTAAGGAAAATTCATTTATATTTTTATAACCTAACTAATTTAAAATTAATTATGTTTTGGGGCAAAAATATATGCACTGAAGAATATAAATAATTTATTACTTGATAATTGTTATATAATAATATTAATTTGTTTTATTAATTATATTACATAATATGGTATGCTTTTCAATTTAAAAAAATCATTATAACAAGTACAAACAAATCTTTGTTTACCAAAATAATAAATACAAAAACTATATTTATAGATATCTATGTATACTTTTTGGCATATGGTACTAAATGTTATTTAGAATACTTATTTGAATGAAATGTTCAAATATAAATAAGTTTGTGTCGCTGAGTAAATATCTAATAAGAGTCATAAAGTAATGAAATGTAACTCTAATACATTTCTGTGATTAATTTTGTTTATAATTTTTTTTTTTTGTTGTGTTTACAGTAAGGCATCAAAAATGGCTAGCAAGAAAATACTCCGATTCTACTTACCCGAAAATAACTACCCATTATACGATACACCCAAGAGAACAGGATCCGAGATGGAAAGGTTATTATTTTTTTTTTTAAATGTTTTATAACTATGAACTGAAATAGCACAAAAGCAACATAAATTAGCATGCTAAATAATTTGATTTTATATTCATAGATGTGGACATGGAAAGATTTGGAGATGAAACAGATTTATTGATTGTCGGCGGTGGTCCAGCTGGAATGGCTGCTGCAATTAGAGCAAAACAAATAGCAAATGAAAAAGGAAAAGTGGGATTCACACATTTTGATCAATAAACAGTCTTGAATATTTTTATTTATTCCAATGTTTTTAGGAACTTCGAGTTTGTCTGGTTGAGAAAGCCTCAGAAGTTGGAGGTCACATATTATCTGGTGCTTGTGTTGACCCACGAGCTTTAAATGAGTTATTTCCTGATTGGAAGGAAATGGGTGCTCCTCTAAATACTCCGGTCAAAGAAGATTTCTTTAGTATTTTAACTCAAACAGGCCGCATCAGATTGCCTATTCCTATGTTGTCATGTATGTTTTTAATCCATTTTTAACAAGAAACAGTTTTGTGTATTTATTCAATTTTATCACAATTTTTTTAGGGATGCCATTGAACAATCATGGTAATTACATAGTTCGTCTAGGACATGTGGTGCGGTGGCTTGGTGAGCAAGCAGAAGCACTTGGTGTTGAAATATATCCTGGTTATGCAGCTTCAGAGGTAAAGAATTAATTAAGAATAAATTGTGATTACAGAAATCATAATTCTTGTCATTCATAGATCTTGTACCATGAAGATGGAAGTGTAAAAGGAGTAGCTACTAATGATGTCGGTATTGCTAAGGATGGTTCTCCAAAATCGTCATTTGAGAGGGGCATGGAGTTGCATGGAAAATGTACTATATTTGCAGAAGGTATAAATGTTTTTTTATATATTATAAATAAATATAAATGTTTATGAGCAAAATTATATTTAGTTTGATTTTTTTTAATAGGTTGCCATGGCCATTTATCGAAACAGCTTATAAATAAATTTAATTTGAGAAAAGATGCTGAACCACAAACATATGGTATAGGTATTAAAGAAGTATGGGAAGTTTTGCCAGAAAATCATCAGTAAGATTATTAACTTCTCAGTTATTCTATAATTATTTATAGCACTTTTTATTTATTAAATTTTTTTTTTAGCCCGGGTAGAATAGAACATTCTACTGGTTGGCCATTAGATCATAAAACTTATGGTGGATCATTTTTATATCACCTAAATGAGCCTACACCATTAGTAGCTGTTGGTTTTGTAGTTGGTTTGGATTATACTAATCCTTATCTAAGCCCATTCAGGGAGTTCCAAAGATTCAAAACTCATCCTGCCATTAGACCTACATTTGAAGGTTTGTGCAAGAACATTTTATATTTTAATATAAGGAGGCATGAATGTTTATATTTATCAATTATTAGGTGGCACTCGTGTTGCATATGGAGCTCGAGCTTTAGCTGAAGGAGGTTTCCAAAGTATTCCAAAATTAACATTCCCTGGTGGATGTCTTGTTGGATGTGGGGCAGGTTTCTTGAATGTGCCAAAAATCAAGGGAACACATAATGCCATGAAGAGCGGTATATATACTTTGTACATATTTGTATGAAGAATCAAACTTTTCTATTCTATTTCTATTCATTCAGGAATGTTGGCTGCTGAGAGTGCTTTAGAAGAAATCTTTGCAGAATCTCAAACTCAGACTACTGCAAGTTTTGAACCAAGAACTTATACAGATAGAATTAAAAACAGTTTTATATGGAGTGAATTGAAAGCAGCTCGTAATTGTCGGCCAAGTTTCCACAATCCAATAGGCTTGTTAGGAGGTATAATGTACAGTGGAGTATCACTCTTAATTGGTGGAAAGGAACCATGGACTTTCAGTCATGGAGGTGCTTACTATAATATAAATAATATTTATTCTAGTCAGCAAATATTTAATTTAAATATATTTGAATATTAGGTCCTGATCATACTAGGTTGAAAAAAGCATCAGAATGTACTCCCATTGAATATCCTAAACCTGATGGAAAAGTATCATTTGATCTCTTGTCTTCAGTATCATTGACTGGTACAAACCATGAAGGCGATCAGCCTGCACATTTAACATTGAAAGATGATTCTGTACCTATAAAAACAAATTTACAAGAATTTGATGGTCCAGAAGGAAGATTTTGCCCAGCAGGTATGACTTCAATCAATACAATTTTAACACTAATTAAAGTTTATTAATTTTTAATATGGTATATACTTATTAAAATATTTAATTTTTGTAAAATAAATATTTGGTTTATAGGTGTGTATGAATTTGTTCCAATGGAGGACGGAGATGGTCAACGATTACAAATTAACGCTCAAAATTGCATACATTGTAAAACTTGTGATATAAAAGATCCAACTCAAAATATTAACTGGGTTGTCCCTGAGGGTGGTGGTGGACCAGCTTATAATGGAATGTGAAATTTATCAGAACTGAATAATATTATAAATAATAGACCTAAAAATAACTTTTTGTATAAGTTTGTACATATATTTTATGAATAAAGATTTTTATCTACATATTTTTAATGACATCATTTCAATCATTGTATAGTTTTGAACTAATTTACAATATTTACTTTATAAATCTTTTTTGCCTTCTATATTTGAAATCGCAAAAAGAACCGCCAGATTTTAAATTCTTAAGATAATCTGATACAATCTGTGTATAAGTTCAAGATTGTTTATTATATGTCAGCTGAGAATGTTTGACAGCTGTCAAATTATTAAAAGAATATAATAAAAATATCACTTATCAAATTCTGCTAATAGTAGATAATCAAAAACTTTTGATATTTAATTATCTTAATGAATGAAGTGAATGAATTTTTAATATTTATAGTTACTCTTAGTGCTTTCTGATTTCTGGTCTCATAAACATGGTCAAAGGTTAAAAATAATCTTGAAAAAATCTTATGGTTTAACACAATATGCAACCAGCCATAAAAATATCCTGAGTAGATTTTAAAAATATAAATATTGCATAAATAAATAATGTCTCAAAGATGGAGTGCAGATTCAACTGTAGCAGAACACAGGGATCTTCAGGCATCTGCAATGGCTGTAGATTACACAGGAAACATTGTTTTATTAGCCGGAAGGCGCCACTTAGCTTTAAAAAGACTTGATGAAAATAACTATACATTAAAAAAAATCCAACGGACTAGTAAATATGAAGTAGCTTCTGTTGAATGGGCTCCATCAGCTGTTTATAAACACATTTGTGCAATAGCAGTAAGAAAATTTCTTTATTTTATTATTAATTACAATATTTTATATTTATATCAAGATTTATAAAAAAACATTGGAATAGTCTTCTATGAAGTAATGTTTATGTCATACCATTTTATTACCAGTGCAATCAACAAGTTGAAATAGTTTCCTGGGAAAGCGGGGAACCAAATACAACAAGCACTTTAAAATCACATACTCGAGTTATAAGTGATATAAATTGGCACAGACATGATCCAAATCTTTTGGCCAGTTGTTCGGTAGATACTTATACACATATTTGGGATATTAGAGATGGTAGAAGGCCAATATTATCGATGTCCTCAGTTTGTAAGTTTTATGTATATGAAATTTTTGATATTTTTTTGTACTTATTTAACTTTGATTGTGAATTTTATAAAGCTGGTGCATCACAAGTTAGATGGAATAGAATATCTAATCATATCTTGGCAACATCACATGATGGAGATATTAAATTGTGGGATCAACGTAAAAGCACAAGCCCTGTTCAGTATATCACTGCCCATTTATCAAGAATACATGGCATAGATTGGAGTCCCAATTCTGATCACCATTTGGCTACCTCAAGTCAAGATGGTACCGTTAAATTCTTTGATATTCACAATACAAGAAGACCCGATAATGTATTAAATACTGCCGCTCCAGTTTGGAGAGCTCGATATACTGTGAGAAATATATTTCAAAGATTTTTGTTACAGCACAGTTTGTTTTAACATTTTAATTTATCATATTTATTATATTTTTAGCCATTTGGCGATGGGTTGGTAACTGTGGTGGTACCTCAATTACGGAGGGGGGAAAATTATTTGCAACTGTGGAATGTGACAAATCAGTCAGCACCAGTTCATACATTTGTCGGTCATACAGATGTTGTGTTAGAGTTTTGTTGGCGACCTCAAGATAGTAATTCCACTTCTACAGACCATGAACTTGTAACCTGGTCTCGTGATCAGTCTCTTAGAGTTTGGAAAGTTGATGCATTTATGCAGAAACTTTGTGGTCATGAAGCTGATGAAGAGCATATGGATTTGGAAAATGAAGGTAACTACTTGAAGATATTCTTTTATAAATTTTAATATTGCATTTCAATATTCAATAGTTCAAATGATGAAATAATTGAAAAAACAATTATAATTTTTTAATATGATTTAATAATAGATGATGCATCAAACCATTTATGCAATGGTCCATCGCACCACACAAATGTTGTAGGTCTGTAGAAATATAATTTTGTTTATAAAATAGAAATATACCACAATCTGTAAAAATTTATTGTGCAGATCCAGTTGTTGCAGTGCCATGCAATTTACAACAAGAGCTATCTTTATTAGATAATCAAGTTTCTAATATAGAAATGGATGTGATTGATATTACAAAGCGCACATGCACTATTACAATCAATGCCAATAACCATACAGTCGTGTTACAGGTAATTGTATTCATTAAAATGATATTTATAAATTTCTATGTTTTAATTTGTACGTTTTGTTTATTTGTGTAATATGTGATGAACTGTATAATTTCATATTTTAGATAAGTTTTCCAAATAAATATCCATCACCTGGTTTTCCACCTGTATTTCATTTTGGTCTTGGAACTTCTTTGGATAGCGTACAATCAGTGACCTTAATGCGATTGTTGAAAGCTACTGCAAATGACAGAACCAAAAAAGCCCGACCTTGCATGGAAGCTTGTTTGAGACGGCTTGTCCTTGCTTTGGAGGTAAATATTCAAATTATATATTTTTTCATTACATAAATCTACACATAGGAATTTGTTCTTTTTTTGCAATATATTTGATATGCAATTCTTGTTTATTTTTTAGAGATCCAACGACACATTAGAATCCCGGACGCGATTCAAAATTCCAAAACCGGAACCAGAGTTGTATATAGGGCTTCACGACGCGAGAGTTCCATTTCCTAGAACTTCGGGAGCAAAATGGGGTCATATTGGATTCCTAGTTGTTTTTGGTAGACCACCAAATGCTAGACGCCAATCAATTAAAAATGAGAGTTATACCCCAAGGTCCTTATCAGCTCTCGGCGGTCCGCACGGAACTATGGTTTATAATGGTAGACATTCAAACAGAAGTACTTTAAGCATATCATCATTCTATTTCCAAGATCATTTGGTGAGATGTTTTTCTTTTATTATCCTTATGTTTCAATTGGTTTCTAATGCACATATGTTTTTTCTCAGAAAAATTCTAAACGCACTAGAACTCGAACTATATCTGCTCCAGGAACAGGAGTAATATCAGTCATTACTCCGAAACCAATTAGGCATATGGTGACCGTTTATGATGCCAATACGTTATTCTTTATTAATAAGAGACTAGCCGAATCTTATATTATCAAATCACGGAGCCTGGCAGGTTCGATATCGATATATCTTGGCGGTTAATGATTTTTAAAATTTTTTTTTTCATTCAGCAATGTGCGCGCATAATGCTGCCATGGCTTTGGAATGTGGCAGAACTGACTTGCATAGAACTTGGACTTTGGCTGGACTAATGGGTGAGGTACCTACGAGCAATTCTGGTTATGCTGATTCTGAAGATGATGTTCCGTGGCCTTACCATCCGTTTGGGAGTAGTATGCTACATTCTTTGTAAGTGTAAAGCAATGCGAATTTTATCAGTATTCACATGTCGAATAAACATAAAATTATAGTAAATCGGATTTACTGGCGAAATCATAATCTTCTTCTTTGAGAAGTTATAATAATAATACAATTATTAAATAAATGAGAACTAAATATTTTTATATTAGAAATAACAAGCGACTTTAGAAATTTATTGGAAGTTATTAATAAATAATTTGTTTTTTTTTTTTGCAGAATAACCCATTATGCAAAAATTGGCGACGTACAAACTGCAGCAATGTTGTGTTGTGCGTTCGATAAATCTTCGGAAACTTCTAAATGTTTCCGACAAAATTCAGGAAGTAAATCAGTCAATCATAGCGTGAGTACTAATTACATTTACTTGGCATAATTATTTCAATACAAACTTACAATTAATCACATAATTACACTCACAGTACCATATTTTGTTATTATTGCGAGACACATTTTAAATGCATTTGAATGGAAAGTTAAAGCCTCGCAAAAGGTGTTTGTTTGTATTTATGAAGCATGCTGTTTATATTTTTATATTTAGAATAGAACAAATGCACTGGGATGTGGCTGTTTTAATAAATTCATTTTTGCGCAACCGTTTGATATAATTTTTTTAAAGCACGCATGAAAACATAATGCTTCTCATTATTTTATATTTTATTCTAAATTTATTTGAATACTGCAAGACGTAAAATCATAGACGTACATGTAAAATACATAAATATATAATGAAAACAGTCGTCGCTACTCAAAAGAAAAAAAATCTGAAATTTTATTTATTGTAATGTTTGCACAAGCTCTCAAAAAATAACACAAGTAAATATAAATATCTATATGATATTAAAATCTCTAGTTATGAGAATTAAATAAATAATTGAACTTGGTACACCATTAAAAATACTAAAAACTAAAAAATAATGAAAGTTGAAATGAGAATTATTTCATAAACACACTGCACGCACTTACTCACATAACATACATTTATATACATGAATTTATATTTTACTTTATTTGTTCATTTAGTGTTAATTATTCTTTTTAACTTTATTGTAGCATCTAGCTTCTGGGAAATGGCTCAAGGTAATGTAATGATTAATTTACGCATACGTTTATTTTTTAAATTTAATTTTCAAATAAAATAAAAATAATAATAATATTTTAATGAAGGTAATTGCAAACTAAAGTAAAATAGATAATTGTAAACTTTGGTTTTTGTTTATCATTATACTCTAACTAATACTTTGCATACATTGCTTACTTACATGCACACACTCCAATCACAAATTTACTAACTTGCATTCATATTAGCTTTATTTGTAATAATATGTATAGTAACCCTTATTTTAAATATTTTGTAGATATTTTTATATTAACATGTGCATTATGTTTTATTGTTTTCATATTTACTTATGCAAGCGTTATAATCATATCGTCAATCATTACGTAATAATCATGTTTTATTTAATATTTGAGTAATACGTAAAAATATTCAAAAAATACTTTTTTTACTGTTATAGCACTCTAGTTTATAGTTACAAATAATTAATTAACAAAAATTAGTTTGTAATAATAATGTGTAATAATTTATTTTTCTTTGCTGTATTTGATCGAATAGAGAAACAAAACTTAATAGTGTTATATAATATAATTAATTATGAATTAACTAATTTTGTACTGTTAAATTTACATAGTTTAATTGACGTTTATATGATTGATTGGGAGAAATTTATTTGATAATTTTTGTATCATAAACAGAAAAGTATTTAACAGGTATTAACAAATACACAAGTATTTCCGTTCTCATAAAACTAAGTATAAGATTCCTGAATTTGATAATGTGTAAATGCACATCTCTATACTAACTTTTTAAAAATTTACAGCCAGGTGGTTCACCTTATCATACAATTCATCCTATAGACACAAAAGTGGAAGGTTGGAATATTCCAACTTTTAAACAACATAGAAGTAATTCTTGGAGTGATTCGATGGATGAATGTCGGATTGAGAGCGAAATAGTGAGACCTGTTACAATGTTGAATCATAAACATGTACATTTATATGATGAATATAAAAAAGCCTATGCTGAAATTTTATATAGATGGAAGTTATTGATAACCAGAACTGAGGTAAGGAATTAAAGAAATACTATTACTGAATGAAGGTGATAGTCTTGATTTTTTTAGTGTAAAATTATCATTACTATGTTTCAGATAATAAAGTCAACTTCAACGAATTTAGATATTCATCATAGAGGTGTTGAATTTTTAGCCGAGTGTAGCCTTTGCGGCAGGTCTGCAAGAGGTCCTCAATGTCCAGTTTGCAGACGCACGGCTCTGCATTGTTCTGTGTGCAGATTGGCTGTTAAAGGTCAGTGAATTTTTTTTATGAAAAACACATGTACTTATACAAATAACAATTAAAAAAATGAAATGTGTAATTTAAAAAAAAAATTAATTTCTGGACACTTCAATCCTTTGCGGAAAATGATTTGCTAAAATGGTTTGCGTATCATTTTTGTCATTATTTTTCGAAATTTATTCCAGGTTCAACAAGCTGTTGCTTACAATGTGGTCACGGAGGTCACACGATTCATTTACAAGAATGGTTCAAAGTGAGTACCCATAAAACAATTTTAATGCAATCCAATGCAATATATTTATTTTATATAATATTCATTTACAATTTTTGCTTAAATGTAAATTTTTCTTATATATTTTTATTACATCACTCAAATTTTCACAGACACAAATAATTTGTCCAACGGGATGCGGTTGTAACTGTTTGGAAGAAAGCAATGATATATTTGATACATGATTATAATATTTTTATATTTCAAAATGACTATATAAGTGTGATAAATAATAGAGCTATAATACTATAATAGGAATAATGTTATGTACTGAATTTAAAAATATATAATCTATGTTTCTATGATAAAGTTGAAATTATTCAAAGAAGAAAGAAAACTCGTAAATTGTTACTTGAAATCGGAGATTTTAATTTTGTATGGGGTTTTATTTTCATTGGTGCGTGGGTTAATTTAATGTATTTAACCTTTTATCATCGTAAATATATCAAATCGTTTGTTGCATAATAAACTACATAAATTTTTCCTGAATATATACTTATCTAAATTAGTATTAAAAACAATTGTTTATCATAAATTATCATATGATTTTTAGACTGGTATATATCAATGGTATATTTCTATGAGAATCTTAAGTATACTTATTTATATAATAATTAATTGTTTTCATGGACATGATTTATGTTTTATGCATATAATGAATGACAGGCATATCTGAATATTATTTTTATTTTTTTAAACTTTTTTTTCAAATATTATTATCTAACAAACGGCAAGAATGATGAATTTATTAAAGAAAATTATAAATTCTTATCTTATCGACTTATTTTTCTAAATTAAAGCATATTTATATTCTCGATCTTACTTCGTTTAAATTCGTTTTGAACACTATATTTTTATTAGTGACAATAATTGCACTTTGCATGACACTTTTTACCATTAATGCCACATCGGCATCCCGCTGAGGTATCACCTTTCCCATTGGGGCCCCACCTGGGCCCTCTGGTGACCCAACAAATCTCAGTCTTGCACATTGAGCAACGAAGCCAATCGCATCCCCATTTCTTCATTAAAATCACTTGACATGTTGGGCAAGTCATGGCTTCACCTTTGTCTACAAGATCTTTTAACATATCTTTGGTTCTCTTAGCGTCTGCGTTTGTTTCTGAATCTTGCTTCATTTTTTCTTGGTACTGTCTGCAGTCGAGATTAGTATGGATTGCCTAGAAATAAATAATTTTGTCAATTAATCAATTTAAATTTGATTAGTTTTAATTATATACCTGACAGGTCAAGCAATTCGAATGTGAGCAGACAGGACAATGGAATAAATTCACGTTATCCTCGAATATGCACCATCCTAAACAATTAGGAGTCTTGCAATGAAATGCATTTTTGATTTTATTCTCAGCTTGAGCTATGGACTTTGCTAAATGCTGTTCATAAATTTCTTTGCTAACTAAAGCCTTAATTTCTCGTTCTTGAAGAACATAATTGCAAGTGTATTGATCGTTCCTAAATGGACATTTCACTTCTGGTTCTTCCGAATATTTTATAGTATTCGTCAAACATTCACGGCAAAAAGTGTGCAAACATTCACGCAAAACAACACCTTCGCCAACTACAAAGTTGTCGAAACAAACGCTGCATGCAAATGGTTCTAGATTTGAAACGATATCCTTGGAGTCTAAATTTAGTAATTGCATGTAATGCTCATCTTTCAAACTTTCGAGCTGCTTTTTTTGTTCAACAGTAGGTTTCTCAGAATTGCAAACAGTACAATTTTCGTTCAAATTGTAATTATTCACAGTGCATGTCGTGCAAGTCCAATCTAATTTTTGTTTATTTTGTATGTCGGCTACTTCATCAGTCAAGCCATTACAAGAGTATTCGCTTATATCGAAACAGTCGGTATCGTTAAGCGAAAACTCACTTCCAGAAATACTTCGACTATCCATTTCTTTAATATCACTTAAATTGGAATAATTGCGCTTTATATCTGGAATCAGGCTTGGACCACTAACAATAATTTTGTTGTCTTTGCTTGGACCTTCTTTGTCATCTTCTGAAAAAATTAAATATACAGATCAAATTAGATATAATTATATTCGTAAATCACATAATTACATAATCATTTTATTATTTACCTGGTGCAACTAAATACAAATAAATTGGAGCTGAACTTTCTCTTATTCCATATTCTTCTAAGGTCCTTGAATCATCAGTAGCTAATTGATTTCCAAGAATCCATCGTTGGATAGCAATTGGTATTTCAAAATCGTGCAATATTTTGCGCTTTAGACCCAATAAAGTCATACACTTTGGTATTTGTAGCAAAATCGGGCCTTGGTGCGAAAGTTTGTCTTCCACATATAAGTCCAAACTGTAAAAGATTAAATGATTAACAACTTAACTAATAATGTTATGTATCTTAGTTTTTATTCTCATTATTTTTAACTTACGTTACAATAACTGGACCACCACCTTTAGGGGAAGAATTTTGATTCTGTTGTCTGATAACAGAACAATTTACTTTTAAGTTTGCCAAATCTTTAGCAAGTCTAGCCGCGTCCATTTGGCGTCCATCAGCAATCGCATTTTCTAAACTTTTTAACAATTTATTAATTTCTACAGTATTATTATTATTATTTGCTGTATCTCGATTCTTCATTATACTTTTTGGAATTCTTAGATCTTCTGTTAAAACATCATAATCGCTAGTGTGAATGTGTCCTTTTTCTGCACTTGCTACTTTAGATTGACTTATATAAGGATTTTTGGGTTTTTGATAAATTGGATTTATTTTAGCATTATTCATGCTCACAAAATCACGTGTTTGTATTAATTCGTATGTTCTATTTCTAATTTTTAGTTCTGGTGCTTGATAATTTTCTGGCATAATGGGTAATATGGTTTCAATGATTGTTGGTGGTTTGTTAGTCGGTTCGAGTTTTCTTATAACACCACTTGTTTGACATGAACTAGACACTTTCAATGGTTTATTTGCATTTTCATTCCGAACTTTGATATCATCAAATTCTGTATGAGTCGTCACGACATAGACAGACATTTCAGGCTCCTTCGCAGTTTCAGGTTCATTGAACACCTGAGTTTTTTTAATAGCACCAAATTTATTGGTATCATCTTTAGGGAAATTCTTTGCATCATCTTTGAAGTTTTGAGGTGTGTGTACAATATGCTCAGGCTTATTAATAATTTTAGGCTCCGGGGTAACAGGTTTTCGTGGAGGAATATGTTGTTTCGGCAAAGAATTTTTCATTTCTCTCAAGCGTTCAAATAATCTGCTTTGTTCTAACTCATTTTCATCACGATTGGGAATGGGAGCAATATCATCAAGATTAGCGCTAAAGCGTTCTAATCTGATTTTACGCACTTCTTCCATATTAGGTTTTACAAACGTTTTGTTTAATGAACTATCATTATTGAATTCCATGTTCGGTTTAATAAACATTTTATTAGCTGCATTATCATTTATAGGTTTAAATTCTTTATTAGTTGAAATGTTTAAGTTGTTTACATCCATTTTTTTGGTTTCGTGCAATTGATATACTTCCTTATTCTTGTTCAATACATTTTTATTTACATTTTCATTTATAGGTTTAAATATTGATCTATCAGATGAAGACTTTTTCAAATCACACAAAGAGTTTCGAGTTTTAGTTGGAAAATACTTTTTGAGTTCTTTTTCCCAATCACCCAGTGTCCGTTTCCTACTTTTGGGAGAATCTGTAATTTTTGCGTTCAATTTGCCATCATTTATATTATCTTTAGATACATTACAACTTGTGCAGGTTGATTTCCAGTGCGGATTTTGGGCGCTACAGTTTTTACAAGTCCAATTTATAGACGAATTCAAATTGACTGAAGATTGTGACTTCATTGGAAACTTTTTAGGAAATTCATTATCAAGATTGTCATTGATCTCTTGTTTTTCTAACTTAGGGGAATTATTTGTGCAATTCATTGGAATTCCCGAGTTCAACTTTGATTCAATATCATCTATTGAAGTTAAGTTTGAGGCCGGTTTTGTAAATCCAGAAGTGCTGAAGATACTTCTTTTCATTGGCGGTGTTTCAGATTCTTGAGCGGGGCTTGTTTTTGAAGAAGTACCTAATAAATCAGAGTTTTGTAAAAAGTAAGCGGTTGGTGGCTTATTAGCATTTTTTGGAAATAATTTTGCAGATTCTTTTGGATTGAAAAATGCTGAGTTTACAGTAACTTTAGTCACGTTAGTGATAGCGTTGAATTTTGATATTAAGTCTCTTGCTGATTTCGGACCATTTTCCTCTTCTTTTTCTGGAACATGCGGTCTAAGAAAACTTGGAATTTCATCAAACTCGTCATTTTGGCTTTGTTCCCGTTGGCTATTAACAATTGCTGCTGCTTCGCGATCTAATTCGCTTATATTTGCCAACATTGACAAACCAGATTTTCTTTTTTCTGAATCTTTCTTTTTATCATCAGATTTATCATTTATTTTTGAAAAGAAACTGAATCTTGGATTGTAATCGCTTGCGGTACTACTTCTACAGTAGTTAACTTCAGGAAAAGCTGCATTTTCTTTATCTTTAGATTTATCTAAAGGTTTATCTTTTTTGAAATCTTTAGAGTTACCACCTGTGCGTTTATACCATGGCCTAGGAGATACTGGCGGTACATCCTTGATTTCTTTTCCTAACGACATGTCTTCTTTAATAACAATGGATTTGCTTGGTTTCAGAACACCTTTTTCAAGTTTCAATGAATCATTAGCTATTGGGTCCTCTTTAGGAATATCACTAGGGTCTTTTGGGTTATCCATATTATTGAAATTATTAGGTTTAGTATCTTCGTTTTTTAGCTCAATTGGTGGCGGAGGTGCTGGTCGCTTTTTGCGGGAAATAGTTGATGATCTCGATTGTGAATTAGTTTGTTTCAAACCGTTATATTTAGGAGGCGGCGGAGCACGTCTTTTACCTTTAACATGAACATAAGCACCAGCTCGTTTATCCTTTGATGAATCACTGGCAGTTCTCCTGTGACCTTTTACAACACTTCCATTTGCACTTGTATTAATGTCACTTACTCTTGTTATTGGTAAACTTAAATCACAATAATTTCTATTATTTTCAGTTTTTATTTTTTTAGGATCACTAAAGTCTATGCGATCGTTTTTCCGTAAAGTATCCGCAGCATACAACCTATATTTTTTACGCAAGGTTAAATTGCGATCCAATTCTTTTAGTCGCTCCCTTTGTCTCAGTCTTTTGCGATAAGTTTCAGTATCAGGTCCAGGAGCTATAAGGGTTTCTGGTTGAGAAGCTGTACCGAAGGGCTTATAAATATTAGGAGGCACGTAAGCGAAACTTGTGGCTGTTGCTGTTGAAAATATTGAATTCACACTTTCATTACTAGAAAATAATGGACTCACTGGTCTACTTAAATTTTCGTCTTCACTGTCTGTGTTTAAATCTTTTTCATCTTTTTTAAACCAACGGAGGAACGAAAAAAATCCGCTAGATGTTGGTCTTGGTAAACTTCTTCTTCCTAAATTTGGAACTTGATTAGAATCTGTAGATACTTCTTGTGGTTGTGAAGATGGTTCACTGATTGATCGTTGCATTGTCACTTTGCACACATGACTTGGTGTTTTGCATGTGCTCTCCCAAAGAGTACTTCACATGCTTTTGGATTTTGAACATTCTGTGAAAAAAAAAATAATTAAAAAACTGTTTAAAGCATGTCCTATTCCAATAGATTTAAAATTTTTCAAATTGGTTCAACCTCTTTGAAAAGTAATATTTTGGCACACAGGCACACTTTTTCCAATGTTGGTATCAAACTATTCAGAATAAATTGAGAAAATATTAATGTGTAGTAAATTCATACATTTAATTCCTATTATTTTCTCTAAAAAGTACTTACACTATAAATATATTAAAATACATCTCACAACTGTTCTATATTTCTAATTTTAGCATCGTGTTTTGAATTTATGTACTATGTAGTTAGCCTTATGTGCCGTTGAATCATGAAAGTCTATAAAAATATTTTTGAGTCATTAACTCTAGACAAAGACTTCAGTACTCGAAGTGCTATACGTATATGTTGTCATTAAATTATTTTCTATTTAAAGAGGCGATATCATCCGTCTTAATTTTATTTTCACTAGCAGTTACTTGGATTTTCGTCAAATGACAAGTGCAAAATGGTGCGTCCGTCCGTATGCACATTTTGGTGCATTGCCAGAAATATATTATATCCAGCTTACAGATTTATTGCAATATGGACATTAAGATCAGATTAGAATTACTGGCTTGATTTATATTTTGCTACAAGATGGGTATTGAAGAAAATTATTCAGATTAAAGCAATATTTGCATTTATTATAGCTTCGATGTGTTAAGCTTTTCTCAAATACCACGCGTGTTCTATTTTTTAAAAGATGCTTATTGAACTATTATTTGTTTCCCATTTTTGCATTTCATGACGCGTTTCTTTTGTATGTAAAGGTTTTTTATAATTTAAACTTACAAAAGTAAATGGATTAATCTAGAAAATAATAACTATTATTATCCTAATTTCATATTTTATTAGTTTTCTCGACGTTTCAAGTCATTCTGGATTTATTGACACTAAAATTTGATCTGTCGTTGATGTTTTCTTAAAAACAAGTGAATCGATTTCAAAATTTTGAAAGCCATTCGTTGAAACTAGATAAGATCTCGCCGAGCAGTTTTTTTTTAAATTTGCAGAAAACTGCAAAAAAATGACCACGTTTGGCATCATTGAGGATTGTTCTAATTAATTTTTAATAAAGACTGACCAGAAAGTTTCTAATTTTTTTGTGATTTTGATGATTTTTTTTATAATGATAGAAGTTCATGGTCGTAACATGCATTATAAACTACATATTATGGGCTTATGAAAAGTGGTTTAATTATAAAAATTTATTAACATTTGGAATAATGTTTTGTGATACAATTTTAAATTTTTGTGGTCAAAATTTTAAACTTTCGTGATCACAATTTTAAAAGTTGCTATCTAAATTCCTATTGACTAAATCGATTATATACACAGATCGGGAAGTTTTTGCAACTTGCCTCCTAAAATTAGTTTTCCTGCTCCGTTTGTGTTGATGCTTTATATTTTATATTTATTATAAAAAATTAAAAAAAAAATGAAAATTTGAAAATCGTGTATATAGAAATAGCATATACAGTTTATAATGTCTTCTTAACACTACATTTGTGGGAGCCTGACCTAAAAATGATTGTTATGAACGTGTGGCCAATACATTCTAAATCAATAAATACATTCTAAATGATTGGCGCAAATAAATTAGATTTACGAAATAGCTTGTAAAATCCGAATTATTATGTTTTAAAAATCTGTAAAAAGTACAGTAAATTAATCATATATACGTGAAATATAATCATCATCGAACGATATGAAAATTTGTTCGATGAGATATGGATAACTAGAAAATTTGTGATAAGGGTATTTGTTACTTCACTTGCTATGCTATTTTATTCTAGATAAATTATTTGAAAAATTCGTCATAATCTCAAATTGTCACAAAATCTTAATCCATAGCTTTCCGATTTTTTTTATAAATTTGTATGTCCAAATAGTAATTGAATAATTATATTCCATATTCCATTGGGATATAATTTTGATACCCAAACATTCCTATCAAAATAATAATTGTGCAAAATATTAAATTTTGGTCTATTGTTTATTTATAAGGGAGATCAAGAAGAAATATAAAATATAAATACCAATTTTTTTTTTAGGAAAATGACAATGGACCAAAGTTTAGAATTTTTTTGAAGACTACATATTTGCAAATATGTCATATCCCATGGGAATTAATCCAACTTTCCAATAATTTTTTGAAGCGCTCATTGCTTTATGTTAAAAATATAAATGTTTTTGTTAAAAAAATATATTCTAATGAACTCTTTTTTCTATTGATACTAATTGAATGTCTATAAGTCCTATTTTTGCTAGCAATATATTTGATTGTTGTATCTGTTATACACGTGTAGTGTTACAAGAATACTTTTAGTATTCATAATTATACACTTTTTATAAATTTTAATATAATTAATAATAGGGAAAAAATTGATTCTTTGGCTTTCAAGTTATACTTCTATATTTGCACACGTACACCTGCGCAAGGCTTAAGCTGATATTTGATAGCATCTGCTTTCATGTATGATACTACAACCAAAAAATCCGAAATTCTTGTCACAAGTTACACATTTTAGAACAAATTTTACATTATTATTAATATTTGTGACTCACCACATTTTATCAATCTAATTTCCTGTTTTACTTCCACACTAGCACATATTTTTTATCAAAACAACAGATATAGATTCCATGCACTTCTAACACAATTTATTTATTTTATCACTATATTTTGGGTTAAATATCACATTTTTTTTAAATTTTTAAAAGGGTGAAGCAACCGTATATGCTTTCGCCACAACTGCGAGATGAATTGGACGAATTCATGCTTGCACGAGGAGTTGGTTGGTTGTTCATTCCAAGTTCGCCGGCCGTAGGGCTAAATTTAGCATACTGCCACTAAGTTCTATTTTTACACCAAAACGCCTAATACAATTTTACATAAATTGCCATCAGAAGAAATTTTAATATTCATTATATTTTGACCTATAGGAAACATATAAAAATTTCTTGACCTGAACTTATAACTAGGTTTAACTATAATTATAATTAGATGGTATGTAGATATCGTATACACTTACATTTAGAGATTTTTCTAAACCAATTGTTTTTGGGTGAGTTCCACAGTTCATATAAATAGCCATCAGAAGAAATTTTAATATTAATTTTAAGATTTGCATATTTTTTTGCCCTATGGAGAACCTATCTAATTCCCTAGACGTGAATCCAACTAGATTCACACCATATCAAATGGTTACACAAATACCACAAAATTCATAATCTTTTTTTTATTCAATTTTATTCAATTAGCAGAAAATGTTAAATGTTTAAAATAAAATAGTTGATTACAAATTGGTAGATACCCTCCCAGTGGTGTATCTACTAGAGCTAATATAATAAAAAACTGAAAACAAAGGACAAAAAAGCCATAAAATGTACCAAAAACATATTTTTTGTTTCGGTTATGTAAGATTATCTTCACTGTATTTTGGTCTGATATTAATTAAAATTTTTATCATTAAAGAATCTCTAATTATGCAAATACAAAGATTGGTATGCAGATTTTGTGCAGATTTTTGAAAATGAATATTTAGATATTTTTCAAGGCAAGTTTGTTTAAAACTGTTCAAACTCAAAACAAATATATTTATTTGGTCAAGCTGTTATTTATTAATTCTCCTTTTAATGGATAATTAATTAAAAATTAATTACCTTTGCAAAATGAGTGCAATTACTGATGATTCTTTTTATTTGCTTATTATTCTATTTGTTTACTTTTTGTATACCTTTTTTAAATAACTGATATATTCAAAACCTGTTTAAATAATTTGACTTATGAAAAACATTTGAATTATATAAAATTAAAAAAATTTAATAAAATTGAAAAATCAATACAATTTCTACCAATTTCTAGCAATTTATTAATGCTCTAGTGTACTTTTTTTCAATTAACTGCAATTAAAGAAGGTTCACATATTGTTTTATAAGAACCGTTATTTATAGTTTTAAAGTAATTCAAAATGATACATTTTGATTAAATTTTAAAAATATATTTAAATAAACCAAACAAATGGGTAATCATATTTATCTTCAATATAGTTGTCTCCTCTTAAAGTATTTTCATGTCTATTTTTTGCATTTGTTGTCTGACTTAAAAGCACATGTGTGGCTTTGAAAAAAATACAGAAAAGCTTAGAGTTTCAGCTATATAAAACTTGCATTGTGGTTTTTGTAAAATTAGTGTAAAATCTAGTGATCTTTCATAAAAACAGATGCTATTCTTATAAAAAAATGCATTTGATCTATTCGAAATTTGGATGCTGTCTCCACGTAGATTCCTCTGCATTCTTTATTTATTTATTTATTTATTTACTTATTATTATATTCTATTAAAATTATGCAATTAAAATTAGATTTGGAAATTATCTTGAAGTAAATTGTTGTTATTATTGTTGTGCATCTGTATATATTTACAGAGGTAATAAATGTATCAGTTTCTGTACAAAGATTTATAAAATTATTTTTGGTAAGTATGATGTTAGACATAATTATAAAAATATAAGTATTTATTCTGATTATAGGTCAATATTATTCAAGACTGTATCCAGCATTTAAAAGATTCATAAGATAGGTTCATGAAATTTAATATTTGCTTGTTCTGTTCAAAATCATCTTCTTCATTTTTTAGCAAATATGTTTTGTAATATACATAAATGTTGAATATTACATAGCATGCAAATTTGCAAGAGTAACCTTGCAATCACCTGGTTTTCATTATTTTTAGTATCTGTCCGTTTGCTGTTCGAAATTCGCGCTTATACTTGTATCTTTCACATAGAAACAACGCTTAGGCATAAATAAAAAATACGTCATGACCTTAGGCCTTTCAACCTGGACGGAAAAGTATGTTTTTTTTTATAAAATATTATCAAATACTTTTAGTAATCAATGTAAGAAAAAATAATATTTTTAATTATATTTAAACACATAATAATTTTCATTTGTATACAATAACAAAATAATAAAAATTACAAAAATATAATAGGTTGTAAAATATCTTCCTTCCGCCTTTTTGTATTATAAACCAAGAGCAAAAAAGCGGAAGGATGATATTTGACAACCTAATATTATTAGTATTAGTAAATTGGTAGTAAAAATATATAAATAAATATGAAAAATTTTATAGAGAACCACCAAATTCTGTTATCATATAAGAGCTTTTTTCAGTCTGTTATTGTTTATGTATTAACAAGTTTTTTCAATTATATATTTTGGCATTTTTTATTCTTTCACATTTTATTTATTTTATTTTTATATTTGTTTTTATAGAAGATATACCAGAAAAATTGTCATGAGTGTTAAATAAGTAAGTAAATAAATAAATATGGCTTAGATACTTGTGATTTTAAGAACATTTTTTACAAGGATCATTATTTATCAATTTTTGATTGTAGTGTTTAATAAACTCAGTATTTATTAAATATAATAATTAGTAAGATATCTGTTAATTGCAAAAATGCAAGCATGAGTTGTAAATAAATAAGTACTTGTTTTAATTTACAAACTAAACTTTTAAATATAAAATGCAATTGAAAATCATATAGTATCCGAAATGCAATTATATACTATGGTTAATTATTATTTTAAAAGCAAATTTATGTATTTGCTCTGATGTGTTCAATAATTAAATATTATTATTCTTAATTGAATTATAAATAATTCTACTGATGTGATTAAAAAAATTTGTATTTGTTTTGAAAGAAGTGATTTTATAAACCAATGATTAAATAGAGTTTTTTTGAATTTAAGTTATAAATAATTGCTAAATTTTGCAATAAATTATAACATTTTCATAAACAAATTTGAAAAAATAAAAAAACATTTTTATAAACAAATGATTAATTGGAATTTTTCATTTAAAGTATAAATAATTGCTGAATTATTTTGTTATGATTAGAAAGAAATATTTGTGTATTTGTTTTAAAAAGAAAGATTTAATAAACCAATGATTTAATGGAGATTTTTAATTTAAAAATTGCTAAATGTGTTCTAAAAAGAGCATTCTTATAAAAGAATGATTAATTGGAGATTTTTTTAAAATTTGAAGTATAAATATTAGTTAAATTATATTGTCGTGATTAGAAAGAAATATTTATGTATTTGTTTAAAATAAAAGATTTTAAAAAATAATGATCATTTAGAGTTTTTTTTAATTTGAAAATTAATAATTGCTAAATTTGTTTTAAAATGAGTATTTTCATAACCTATTAATTGGAGTTTTCTTAATTTGAATTGTAAATAATTGCTAGATTATATGGTTGTAATTAAAAAGAAATATTTATGTATTTATTTAAAGAAGTAGTTTAATAAACTACTAGTTAATTGGAGTGTTTTTTTATTTAAATATAAAATAATTGTTGTGATTCTGCTATTCGTCGGTTTATGCTTTTATTGTAAATTTTGATTCTGTATTACTGATATCTGTGCTTGATATATTATTCTTTAACAAGCAATTTTATGAAATAAATTTTATTATGTGATCATCCTTTTTTATAACAATAATTAAACATAGAATTTCATTTTATATGAGCAGTTTGCAATTCTATTAAAATTGTTTTTTCAATAATTATTATTAAGGAAAAAATATTTAAAAATATAATTATTATTAAGGAAAAAATATTTAAAAATTGTTTTGTAGTAGATACATATTAATGCAGAATCTTTGTGCGCTGCATGTTTATATTTTACTAGATAAATACATAATATTTTGAATCATACTCTTCTTTTATCTATGTTTTGAATTGTCTTCAGTTTAAACTAATTTCGAAATTATTTGATTATAGGCATTTGAATGACAACATTCTAGTTTGAATGGTTTAAGGTAGGTGGACGAGGCCATTTTGTGTTGCGTTACTTGACGAATCAGACTTCGGCTAAAATCGTGATGTCATTATGTCTATATTGTTGTTGTGTACTTACTGAAGTTTACTAACGCTTTGATAAAGTATCCTAAATAAAAGTATAACGGTGGTTTTTGATTGAATTAATTGTAAAATCAATAAGATATAACGTTGTTAAATAAGGTAATCTGTGCTAGAAATGTATATTTTGCTCCGGAGTCGAGAAATAATCTAAAGTTTTGCCGTTTGTCACCGAGACGCTATTTCTGACAGTTACATATCAATAAAAGTATCATAGCTTGTTCTGATTCGTGAAATTTACAATAATGTCTGAGTTAATGTTATGTTCTGAACACTGATAATTACTGTTTAGTGTTTTTCAATAGATTTTCTCAAAACTGTTCTACAGCAGTGGACTCACAATTGTGCTAAAAGCAAGCCGAATTCGGCTTTAATAAAAAAGTGAAAATTATTGACCTTCCATCCGAGAACGATACTTTTCACAATCAGTCAGACTTTCTGTAATGTACCCAAATATCTTCCAAGAGCAACACACCAAAGAAATAAGCTTCGTTCTCCCCGTTAACTTGTTACACTCAAAAAGAAAAGGAATATTTATACACCCAAACACAATGTTCAGAAATATGAGTTGCCCCCCTAATTCACAACTTGCTGGTGCTATAACGTCAATACGCCAAAGAAATTAAATCTCATAAATCAGAATCAATAAATTCATAAATCATCATAATTGCATCGTTTAACAATTATAACTATTTACTTAAATCAAAAACGAAAACAACAACTTTGTAAGCTTACACTAATTTTATTCAAATCAATCCTCGAATTCTCATCTAACCTTCACAATGAAGCTTTTAGAAAGCACTCGCTTCGAAGCTATCAATAATGCTCTTTCCATAACAACTGGAGACAGCACGATATCAGGAAGAATTGAAAGCTACAGCTGCAAACTCGCTGGAGGAGACAAAGCCATGTATAAGAGATTTAGCTCGGAGCAGGGTAGCAGGGAACTGCAGGCTCTGTCGCCTCCGCAAACTCAGCTGGGAATGTCTCCGGGACAGGGATACTACAGGTCAGTTGATAATACAAATATATATATATATATATATATATATATATACTCGTATATATATATATATACTATCTCATTGTGATTTTATAATCATTTGATTCTGCAGTATGTAATTTAATATATCTATATAGTTAACTTCACGATTGGAAGGTTTTATTATATGATAACATCCTTTGTTATTGTTATTTTCATTGCATTTCAAACATTCAAATATCTTCTATAATTGAGAAGTTATTTCTAAATATAGAGATAAAATTTGTTTGAATATTTAATTCCATTATAAGCCATAGAAATTGATAAACCTCGAGTTTTGTTTAATTATTGCAAAATACTTATCTATCCAATGAACTGGCTTGTATAAATATATATAATGAAAAAAATGTTTATATTTATGAACTCAATAATTAACTCAAAACTGTTATTATATTCTTATCTATTGCAAATATATAAACAAACATTTATAAACTGCAGGAATAATTGTAGTATCTAATTGTTTGTAATAATTGAGATATTTGTGTTGTATAGATTGCGGAGATATATGATTTGATTAAATTTTGGATACTGTTAAAGATGTTGAATATTCTTGGTTCGAATGATTTCTTATTATGTAATAATGGGAAAGTTATCAGATAATGGTTGAATTTTTGGTCTTAAGATTTTTTTTTCTTGTAGGAATCAGAATTATGAAAACTGGAGTTGAATAACTTTTTATTAAATTTTACTGCTTGAAATTTTGTTTTTCTTTAACAGTAGTTATTAGATAATGGTTGAATTTTTGGCCGTGAGAATTTTTTTCATGTAGGAATCAGAAACATGCAAACAGGTTGATAAACTTGTTTTATAATTTTACTGATTGAAATTTTGTTTACCTTTCTTATTAAATATATATTAATTTATGATTTTGTAGTCGGTTTAAATTAATAACTAAGAATATTATATTTAATTAGTAGAAGGAAATAGATTTGCTGAAAAAATGTACCATAAATATTGGATGGTGGGTACATCCTTTTTTTAATTAAAGATGTCAGCTTGTAGAGTGAGGAAAATTATATATTATATTTTCTGATTACCAACTTTTCTTATCAATTTTAATATCTATGAGATATTGCTTAGCTATAAGTTAAGATTTGAATATATTTATTAAATTATTCAAGAAAAGAGTATTTTTGACTAATTTTGGACAAGAGAATTACTGTAATTGAACAACTAAATCTCTATTAATTATTTTGAGCTAAAAAAATATTACTAAAAATTAATTTGCTAATTATTAAAACTTAGGGGGCGTCCATTAATCACGTGAGGTTTTTAGGGGGAGGTGGGGTTTGACAAAAAATTATGAAATATCACGTGGGAGAGGGAGGGGTATAGTAAGATATCACGTGTATTTATTTGTTATCTGATTTTAAAAAAAAGATCCAAATATTTAAAAAAAAAAATCAAAATGTAAACATTTTTTCCCATAACTAAAAAGACTCATGTGTCTTTTTGATGTGGGAGGAGGGGTAATTTTAAATATCACCACGTATCACCAGGGGGGAGGGGGGGGTTCAAAAATCCTTAAAAAAGTGGATCACGTGAAAAATGGACGCCCCTTATGGGATTTCAAAAGTTGCTGAATATTATTATTATAAATGCTTTAATAGGTTGCGAAAGGCACATACATACTTTTTTTATTAGCCCTTGTCCTACACCTGGGGTCAAAAAAGACCCCAAGGCCACCTTTAGCTAACATTTCTCGCAAGGTCGCACGTTTCCGAACATTTTGAGGCCTTCTAATTTTTTTTTCACGGCCCCTATCGACAGGATAAAAATTTAACATGATGAATTTATTTATTATTAAATTAATGTATTTATTTTTGGGACCAGCTCCTCCTTTTATATTTTTCTGTTGCTTGATTACCTGACCGTACAATGTTGCTTTGCGAGCCATCGCTGTTGTCACATCTTCTCATTACCATACGCAAGTCAAACTTTCTAAAAATGTTAAAAAAAGCATTTAGGAAGTCATTGTTTATTTGATAATGACAAGTCGTTCCGAACATACGGGGCAAAAAGTACCAAAAATGGTAACTTAGTTTTTAAGAGAACCGGACGTTCGATTTTAATAATTTAAAAAACATTTTACTTGTATTGACAAGATGAAGAATTCATTCAATTTTTGGGAAGGCAGGTCTAGCGGTTTCGGGGATCTCGTAAACAAAGTAAAAGAAAAATCATTAGACATGCATATGCACATCAAATTATCAGATATTTTAATATTGTGTATCAATTTTGTTTACATTTCTATGGGTTCCGTAACATCGTTTGTCCGTTTAGTATCTATGCAGCTAAAGCATATAAAGCAAAACAAATTTTTCTAACGCCATTATAGTTATAATAATTATAATAACTAGATGTAAGTTGTGTTTTACCTTGAGGCAAGTTGCATGGACTTCATGATATGCGTAGACTTAATCATGAAGAAAACAAATTTAGCAACTTCCAAAATTGAAACGATAAAATATTCAACTATGTAAATGAAATTTTGGCTTTTCATTGAAACTTAATCAAACCAATTGATATTAATTCTACATGTTATATGTTCGAAACATTAGGCCCAATATACCGAACTTTAATGATTTTGACCATGATCTCTATTTGTGCCAAAAGTTTGATTAAAATTGTTACGTTGTTTCTTCCACCTGATTTACGAAGAAACAGCTGGGTCGATCTTTACCATAAACTTAGAAGCACGATTCCGAATTGATTCTTTCAAATGATTTTTTAATCTATTCTGGATTTTTGATGAAAACGTTGATTAAACTCATTTTCTAATTATAACAAAATGGCTTAGTCGGTCGTCCTGCAAAAATAATCTTTGGGAGTTCTCATCGAGTTTCACCAAGGCTTTTAAAATTTTAGAAATCGGTGCAGGCGTTTTTGAAAAAACTTCCATGGAAGGTCATTAAATGTTATCTAATACTGATGTCATCTATGTTAGAAAAAAGTTTCCATTTTAAACATCAGCAAATTTTTGGTCGTACTTAAAAAAAAAAGGTTTAAATCAATTGCCAATCCATTGATTGGGCGTCCAGGTATATGGATAAATAAAAACTAGTGGTGTATGGCATCGTGCCTTAAGGCAAATTGCTGGAACTTCCCGTAACGTAACGAAATATTCGAGGAATGTTAAATCTTTTCAAATAGATTATTATAAATACTGTAACATTTTCTACTATTTATAAGAACTAGAATATAAATTGAATTACAAATTTAAAATTATTTATTTAAGGTATATAAGGGAGCTTTAGAACTTTAGCCAGAATTAAAATTAAAATCTGAATTATTTTCGATATACAAAAAAATTGCCAAAAAAAATTAGAAATACTTTTTTTTCAAAAACAATTGTTTTGCCAACACAAATGGTCTCCACACATACACACACGCACACTGAATGTTGCTGAAATGTTCAGAAATCTCTAAAACGTGAATGTATGCAAAAATTTTCATTTTCGATTTTCGGCCCATTACTATAACTCACCCTACGGAAAGTTAATAAAAATATTAGCAAAAATAAATTTTATAGCTGTCCAAAAAGCTCATATTCAGCTCAGAAATGTGACGATTACAATAATATCATTTTGTGTAGATTTTCTTGCCAAAGAAATGATATGAAAAGCTTTAAGTTTCATATGAATTAAAAGTTGATATTGTCCGGCATTATATCGAAAAGACATCAGATTTAATGTTATGAATGGACTAATTGTTGCAGCAATTTGATATCTGAACTTATTTGAATTGATACATTATTCAAGGCAATAGTCAATAAACGCATTAATATTAAGTAGATTGAAAAATAGTTGCATTATCACACAAACTAAAAAAAAAGATTCACCTTATTTCTTTATTAATTTCTTCGTTTTAAGACATTGATTCGTATTAAGAAATTTTGTTATACATTTTTTAAATACCATTAATCTAATATGTCGTCCAAAAATATTCTATAGTCAAGGTTCATGTAATTATATCATAGATTTTCATCGATTTCATAAAATATGATTAAAGACTCATAAAAAGTGATTGAAAAAATAATAATAGCTGGACATTGCACGATTTTATGAATGTTAATAAGTGATTTCTACGTGGATGATCCGTAATGTATTTAAAATAATTTTTGTACTACTGTTGTGTATCATGGTAGGTGTCTAAAAAAAATTATATATTTGAATTTTTGTACCTTTACTTTTTACTTGTTAATTCGTTTTATTTCAGTAATCCACAATCGGCCATAGCAGAATTACAATGGGATGAATTGTTCAAGTTGCATATAGGCTTTAATTTAAAAATAATTCCGGATATAAGCGAATCTCTATTATTATATAACGATTTGTGTAAAAAGGTTGTTTGTATTAACAACATAAAACAGTGCTTAGAGAATAACTCGAAGCCCAAATGTCAATACTTGGTATTAACTACAACGATAAAGGATTGTATTTCACGATTTTCTTGGCTGGGGTCAAACAACAACTTCTATTGCGAAAATGTTATGTTATCTAATATTTTTGCGATACACGATTGTGGAAGTTTTGTAGTTTTACTGCATTTTGCATCTGGTAAAGCTGACTTGTTTTTGTTCGAATGTAAAACTAAAACTATAGGGCAAAAGTTACATATTGTTGATACAGAATGTATCAAACATACCAAAATAGTAATGAGAGGTTATAATAACCAATCTGGATCTTCGTATAAAAGAACAAATGATGGTTTTTTGTTATTGAATGGTCAGTGTTATAAATTTGTCGTGAACGATTCAGAAGTTTCCTTATGCGATCATGATGTATTTGAAAATATTGTCGATATCTTTTTTGGAGACAATGACGAATACTTTCTGCTGAACGAACAAAGCCATATATTCCACCGTAGTCATAATAAACTCACGAAAATTATATCAGCAATTACATGGAGCTCGTACTGTTTGGTTAACGATAACAGTTTTTTAGTCTCCGATTACAAAGCTTTTTATTTATGCAAAATTGATAAAGACTTTAAACTGATATACTTTCAACTGTCTTTGCAATTTGTGACGAGCATAGTATTTTACAAACAATTTGGAATTGCCATATGCATTACAGCACAAAATAAATTCTACCGGATCAAAACTGATATATTAGAAACAGATGATAATACCAAGAATGCTATTGATTTAGATATCGATAATATCGACTCTGCCGTCCACATTTTAAAAGAAATACAAAATTATTCGACACAATTGGATGCAGTGTCTAAAGATATAGAGAAACAGAATACTTTGATAAAGAATTTAGGAGTGGTTTTGAGATCAAATTTATTAACAGAATATTTCAAACATGATGTTAAAATTGAACAACTAAATCAATTCCAGGAAAACAAATATTATTTAGAACAAACCTTAAAAATACACTCAGACATTTGTCCCTTGTTGTCTACTGAACAATGGTATTACAAAACTCAGTATTTAGACAGAAAATTCGACTTGGTACATAATTTGTACAGAATTCCTACAAACAAAAGTACGATAATAGTTTCTTCTGAATGTGATGTAAATTGCAAAAGCTACGAATTAAAATCCAGCATCCAAACAATACTTGTAGACGAACGGCACAAGATAGGCGCCAAAGTCAATTTAACCAAAGATTTTGTGAACACAGAAAATTTGTTAAAAATAGAGAAAATAAATGACGATACATCTTCCCACGACTTATATAACTCTATTGACCAAATGATCATATATTCTCAATTGCCTACAAATCAATACTGCACGTCAACAAGTAAAAAAACACGCCTCAAATGTGTAAGTCTTATTACGTCCGATTTGCTAACAAAATTATTTCCTGACTCAATTCAACATTTTTCGGACGAATTCAAACTTAGAGTTAATGGAGACATTGTCAAATTTGAAATTAATAGAGATACAAATTATATAGAAATGTCTTGCTTGAAAATGTCTACACTGAATCGACTAAGAAAATATCTGATTATAAAGTCACAGCCTGAAGGTGGTGTACTTTTTTACAATCCACAAGAGAAATTAAGACTTGAGGTAAGACATTGTTGTTTAACAAATATAAACCAATAATTTTATTTTTGCATACAAACATGTTAACATGATTATTTAGGAAGATTAGTTACCATTGTTAGTAATATATTTTTATCTATTTTAGAATACCATACGTTTGCTGAAGATGGAACTCCTGAATTCTGAATTCAACTTGGAAATCTTGAATGATATTAAAGAAAAAACACGAGAGAAGATATCGTCGCAGTTTATTAATTTATCATGAAATTTATATAATACTATACCATAGTTTATAAATGTTCTTTATATTGTATATGTGATATGAAAAAAGTATATTTTATTATGAATAAAAAGTACTTTTATAACCGTGTGTTTGAAATTATTTGTGCAAAATTGTTAACTGTTCATTTGACTTAGTTGTTTTCTGGTTTTATAAACGATTAGAAGAATTATATATGTTTTCATTTGAGGAAACAATATGTTCACAATGATGTCTTTTAAATGAAAATAATTGAGATTTTATGAGACTAATTTTATCAACCTAAAGTGTCGATGTCAAATAAAGTTTTGATATACAAATCAATACTTAAACCCATTTGGACCTATGGCATTCAGCTCTGGGGCACGGCCAGCCACTCAAATATAGATCACTGGATGCAGTTCTTAGCTTTTTCTTTCTTTGTTCAATTCTAAGCCATGCGATTGATTTTATATCTTTTGTAGATAGATGATAAAATAAAATTATAATAAAAAACAATAAAAATTATCACCATCAACGTTGGTGCTTTGTAGGTTGTTGATCCTTTTAGTGTTAGTTTCTCTAAGTTGTGAGTTCAGCTTTTTTTTCTTTTTTTTGTCAATAAAAACTTTATTAAAGAGTTCAGAAAATTGCTTGAATTCCATATCTAGAAATTGCATAAGGCGTTCCATTCAATATGTTATGATCTTTTAATATCCACATTCAATTAGATATAAGTGCATCAAAATGTTAAAATCTATGCCAAATATCAATAAGTAAACAACTTGACGATAGCAAATCTATTTATACATGTCAAGCATTTGTACGTCTCACTCTGCCAGATATTTTTGCTATGCTTTTGGCAAAGTACCAATTAGAATTGAAAATAAAAACATCTGTACTTGCGAACGAATCCTCTCTTATTAGACCAACAATAAGGCGACGGATGCATGCTAGGATTTATTTTCAAACTTTTCTACCTTGAGGTGTCACAAATGCTGAAAGAAGACGTAGATTTTCATGGAAACGAGATGTAAATGATTTATAGAGAAAACTGAAATAACGCTCCATTTATAATAAAAAAATAAACTAAAAATGGTATTTTGAACAGCATGTGTTAGAATATTCTACGAAATGAAGATCTTAAGCAAGAAATCTAATTTCACTAACCATGTTTTCTAAATATCAGTGCTAAATAATTTAACACAATAATAGTTATAATAAAATGATTTACTATTCCAAGTACATTGTATAAATTGTATTTTTTGTTTTGAAAATAAGGTGACTCCTTATTTTAGGAGCTGAAGCTATAACATTAGATGTCTTCAACTTAAACCCATTCAAATACGATTATTTTTCAGGGGTTTGAGCATGACTATCTTATCAATACATGATGTGCCAAATATTAAATTATTAATTAAGAATTAAATATTTTTATTATATTTTTTTAATATTTTCAGCCGTAGTTTGTCTGGTGACGAAGGCTTGCTTTGCGACACCATCTCGAGCAAAACTCTGTTTTATCTCATCTCGACTTTGAATGCTGCTTTTGCTCCTGACTATGATTTCTCTGATGCCAAGGTATAGATATAATTTATAAACCATAATAAAACATAATAATTAAAATTATAAATATTTCTAAGTGATTTAATTTGGAACTCCTATTTAGACTCCGACTATTCTTTAGTAGCCTTAATGCAACATTGAAAAGATAATGACTAATTTTTAGTCAAATAGTTTAGCTGAGATAATAATCCTATAATTGATTTATGAGAATCTATATATCTTTTTTTAATTCTTTTTTGATTTCTTGACCTTTACACAATGCCATCATTCAAATCTTTCATCTGGAATATCGCGAATTATTTTTATGTTGTATTTATTAGAATACGCTCGCGGGTTAATAAAACATGTTTATGATGCCAAATGCAAAGTATTTCTCGACTTTTAAACGTTTGCCAATTTATTTTTAGTGGATTTGATATATATGTATTTTTTTAAAACTACGATTTTGTAATCAATGTATTTTTCCGAAACAACTATGACGTCGTTGTGTTGATAAACGGAAAAATCTATATTTGAAAAATAGTTAGTTTTAAGAGAAGACGATGGTTTAAATCTTTGTTATGCAAGTATTTTATCAATTTTATCAAGATGATCTAATATAATATATTACAGATATAATTTATGTTATATAATAATAATATGACATATATGCAATTCGATATTGTAACAAATGCTGTAATTTAAATACAATTGTTATTGAAACATATATTACTGAAACATCAGTCTTTAAAATATATTAAACACATTTGTAAGATTTTAATTAATAATTTTAAAGGCAAATAGTCGTACAAACATTTTCAAGCGTTTTTTTTATTATTATAAATTGTATATAAGTAATATCGATTACAATTGTCGTTGCTATATTTATTTTCTTTATATATTTTTTGACATATAATAATTAAAATTTATTTTAGTATTTATATCCCGCAATATCAACTGCGTATTTTCCTTTAACCTTGATATATGGTTTCTATTCCACCCTCTGACCTTCGCTCGACCTTGCCCAATCGGCTTAAAATCACGCAGTAGATTCAGAGAGACTTGTAATATATTTCAAATATTTTAAATATGTTTATGATTATAAAATGTTTTTGTATTAGCACATGCTTGTTCATAAAATATATTTTATATTTGAACAACAATCTGAACTAATTGTAAGTCCTGTGGTGCAATCACTACCTAATTAGCTAGGGAAAGGCGGCAACTCAATGATTGTTTTATTTTTTATTTTTTATTATTTTTTATACTAGAAGGCAATTCAGTTATATCCTTTTTCTCATTGCACTAACTTCAGATCGGGCTTTTTTGGAAACATATTTTGATCTATATTTTCAAGTAAAAATAGATATTAGTACTGCTTGATATTAGGCTCCGAAAAGCGAATTTTAACTCGGCAATTTGTATTTACAAAGCTAGGATTTTACCATAGCGCTACAGAAACTTCTCTTATAACATGTCTCCATAATACCAAATACTACTTCATTATATTAAATTATTTTAAAACTTCTAATGTATTTAATATATACGAGGTGAGGTCTGTTCAAAAAGTTTTCGTAATTTTCGTTTTTTCAAAAAAATATTTATTTATTCGTCTACATTAATGTGGTCCCCTTCAAAGTAGTCCCCCCCAGATATAATACACTTATGCCAGCGTTTTTTCCAATTTTCGAAGCACCCTTGATATTCACTTTTTGATATGTCCTTGAGCACTCTCGGCGATTTTCTTCAATCGAGGAAAACCGCCGTCCTTTCATGGGTCTCTTCAACTTTGGGAATAGGAAAAAGTCACACGGAGCCATATCTGGTGAATTTTTGCACTTTGCAACACTTTATTTCATTTTTTACGCAAAATTTAATACAAATTCTTTGACTTTTTCAATTCTTCCATTGTAAAAATCGCCGAGCTCAGAAAAACACGTCGAACCTTAGCGACTACCACAGACAAAGTAAACAGTGAATATAGCTGAAAATTTCATCATACTTTAGGGGCATGTATACCAACACAATAAAAAAAAATTTTGACAATCAGACACTCCAGACCCGCGAAATTTAATTATTAGTAATTCCGGGTACTTTTTGAACAGACCATGTATATATATATATATATATATATATATATATATATATATATATGTAGTGTATATTTTAATAGCCCTGAATGTGTAATATTTTCACATATCTATCGCAAAAGTTTTGGATATTCATACAATTTTATCTTTTTTTGGAATTTTACCTATGTAGATATGTAGGTATGTTTGCACAAGTAATATATCCAAAAGATAAGATAAAACTGAATAAATATTAAATAATTTTATTTTTTTTATTTTATTTTATTTTTAACTTATTTTATGTAAGGTGTAGTAAAAAAGTCCATTATATAAGTTTTGTAGTTAAAAGAAATCAAAAAAATCTGTTCACACACACACATACTTTTTCCAAATTTGGTCTCATTCGATTCAGAATGGCTTGAAACGTCCAGAAAACATAAAATAAGCAAATCGGATTTTTTGATAAAAATAAACTTCTCCTTCGGCAAGTTAAAAATAAAAATATATAAAATATTATATAATATATAGTTAAAATCTGCATTATTTAAGGTGTAGTAAAACGAATTCCATTTTTAGGATGTAATAAAAAAATCCATCATGTTATTTGTGATTTTCTACATTTTCACAACTAACAAAAAAATAATATTTTTTTCTATAACAATCTGTATTTGAAATTAAACTAAATAGAAATTAATGGTTTATATAACGTTTCTTATCGGTATATTATTCTCTTTTTATTGGCATTTTAACTCTATTATTTTATTACAAAGAATATTCGTCTTGTTTCTTAAATTTATTATTTTGAAACTATTAAGCCAATAAACAATTGGATTAAATGATAAACGATAAAATATTCCAAAGAAATGATGAACTCATACCACAAATATTTTTTATTATTTTGCGAGATAGAAATGCAGATATCGCTCTCGATAATTTCTAAATTTTTTAAAAATAGTCTGGCATGTGTTATTGTAATCTATATGAATATGGAAGAGAAAACATCATTACTCATTAGAATGATTCATATATAAAGTCAACTTATGGTTCTGTTTAGTATGCAGATTTATGATTAATTTATTATGTTTACTGTGATTTTGTTTCTTTGCAATATTTGCAAGATACTGCTTTTAACTGAATACAAATGAAAGTTGACCTACAATCGGAAATGATATTGATGATGTTGAATTAATTAATGCAATGCTAAGTAAATAAATTAATTATATTACGTCAATAAAATTAAATATGAAGCAATTTGCCATTTTCAACAATTATTATTAAATCTATTTATGCTGTTCATAATTATCTGTTTAAACTTTCTTTAAAAATATGAATGTCTGTTATAGATATTTGTATTGTAATATTTAAATGTATTGTATTGAATTAAGAAATAAATATATTTACTTTTTTGTAATACTAACAAGCGTAATAAAATATCAAACATTTTTTAAAAATATATTTGCTAAAATACGTTTATGTATGATTATTTTTATATACTAATAATTAAGTTACAATTATTCATTTTAATTTAATTGTTCGATATTTCGGTACTTGTCTTCTACATTTCCATCATACTTTCTAATTCATAAATTTCACACTAAATTATATGTGCTAATATATGAAGAATAGAAATAAAAAATATACGTCGATTTCTTAAAAATATTTCAGATTTCTACAGACCACTTTTACTTAATGTTTGTAAATATAGAATTTAATGTCGATGTTGCAAAATGTAATCTCGAAAATTGTCAGCATTATTATAATCTATGTGAGGCGAGGTCAATCACATCGAATGAATGATATACGTGATTGTTTAAACAATTTATTTACATATGAAAATGGTTTCAGAAAGCAAATAATGTGTTACACTGGATAATATAGTTTCAATCATTTGATTTTAATTTATTCAGGTTTTAATAATTTTCTCATACTTTTTTATAATAACTATCTTATTTACTGAAACCTTATTTATAAAAAATTAAGGAGAAAGAAATTATTATTCTACACATATCTTTATTGATATATTTTAAGGAAAATATTTGGAGTTTGGCATTTAATAATATGTATATGTATATTAGGGTGGTCCTTAAAATGGTCATTTTCGAATTTCCTTGCTCCTAAGGGCTCAAATGGTTCCAAATTGATAAAAAACAATTCTCTGAAAGTTTTAGCTCTTAATATTAATGTTTAGATAGAGCGCAATTCAATCAAAATTTTGAATGAATAAAACTCATTCATTTGTCGCTAAGTTATACCTAAAACATTTTTTTTTAATTTTCAAAATTTTTTCCATGCTCTTTCCATACGAAGTTTGATTGCATTGCGCTCTATCTAAACGTTAATATTAAAAGCTAAAACTTTCAGAGAATTGTTTTTTTTACAATTTGGAACCATTTGAGCCCTTGGAAGCAAGGAAATTCGAAAATGACCATTTTAAGGACCACCCTAATGTATATAGCATTTGTTATAAACTTTACTAAATCTCTAGGTTCAAAATTTTTATTTATTTATGCTTGCAAAATTACCTCCATATAAATAATATAGATTAACCATTTTAATTAATTTATTCTCGAAAGAGGAAAGAAATTAATATTTTAGGCATATCCTTATAATATTTAGAGGAAAATATATGTACATGGTTTGGTATTTAATAACATATAAAACATTATAATGTTTTATTTTGCAAGTATAAATCAATGAAAATTTTAAACCTAGAGATTAAGAAAACTTTATAATTATAATTATAAAGTTTTCTTAATCTCTAGGTTCAAAATTTTCATTGATTTGTACTTGCAAAATAATCATACTTAATAAAAAAAAATGTTTGAAAATAAATCAGTACTGATTTTTAATCTGGCTACAACTTATTAGACACGATTTTTCAAGAAAATATTGATTAAAATCCAATTTAGTTAGTAGGCTCTGCAATACCATTAATTGCATACAGTTCAAAAAGTTTAACTTTGGTGGCAAAGAATTAGTAGTCCATCGTCAGAGGAGTTAGAAACGGAAGTTCCGAATTAGAATCATGGTGCAATCGAAACATGATGTTTCTGATTAAAAATCCTATAATTGTCAATCCTATTTTTATTATTTTTCCCAGAGCTACGAGTTCAGCAAAGAGCCATCCCTGCAGTGGGTAATGAACAGCATTGACACCAATTTGGCGGCCGTGGCGGGCGAGGCCTACCACACTCTGCGCAGTCACTTGTGGGCCGCCGTCGAGGATGAGATTAGCCTGGCCGATTGCGATATCTACAGCTACAATCCGGATTTAGCTTCCGATCCCTATGGTGAACCGGGATGCATCTGGTCATTCAATTATTTCTTATATAACAAAAAGCTTAAGAGGATCGTGTTCTTCACTTGCCGAGCCATCAAGTATGTCATAATAGATATAATTGAATTTTTTGAGTTTATGAATAGCATTCGGAACTATGAATTTTAAAAGTAGAATAGATAGACGTCCATCCTAACCAATTAGCATGTTGTGTATACCTGGAAGGCTAGCCGACCAGACTTGAAAGAAAAATACCTGGAGACCTAATATAGTTTAAGGGGGTATTCTAGTGTAGAAATTCAAAAATATCGATTTTTTTTATTTCATATTCTCAAAGTTGAGCTATCGAAGAATATAAGTACGAGAAGGTTTTTGAAAATTTGAATTATTTTTGGAGATATAGGCATTTTACTGACTCGGTTTACATACTGGTTTGGCTTCACGCAAAACTTTAAATGCGTTTTTCTCAAAACTTACTTTTTCAGTACTCTTGTCTCGATTTCTGGAGTTCTACTCGGCCAATTTATTTGAAATTTTCAGATAGTCTTGTTTATAGATTTATTTATAGTCTGAAGTAGAATCATCCCGAAATTTCTATTTTTGCTATTTTTAAAAAATTCGAGAAACTCAAAAAACAGTAAAAAAATGGATAGTAAAAACATTCATTGCTTTCTTTTACGACACTTTAAAAATGACCTAAAATTCATCGCTCTACACTAGAATACCCCCTTAATTAACTATAATACTTTCATTTTACTATATTTTATTGTTTTTCCCCCTTTTGTTTTTAGTTTTTTTAAATGTATTTTATTTAGCTCTAGTAGATAGGCCAATGGGGGTATCTACTAGTTTGTAATCAATTATTTTACTATATATTAGTCAGCATTCTCTGCTTAATGCAATAATATATACAGATTGCAGAATAAAATTGAATATAAAAAAATCGGAACTATGAAGATGTAATTTGAGAATTATCACATATGAGATGAGATTATTATTACATATTTGTAACAGTGATGTGATGTGATAAGCAGGTATGCCCCGTAAGGCTATTTTTACTTGAAATCATATTTAGATAGATATTTTCAAGTGAAAATATTTATCAGTAACAGTAGCTGCTCGATATTTGGTTGTCCAACGCAAGAATTGGACATGAATCCTATGCAACAGATGCATTAAAATATTTATTATTAAATCATGATTCTTTCTGAATGAATTACTTAATAAAAAAGTTCATCGAAAATCAGGATAATGTTTGATATGCATACTGAATCTAAATATAAAATGGATTTATATGTATACCATTAGTATTTTAAAATTAGTCTAACTTTAAAATGTTACACTAATTTCGACCTGTTTCCTATTACCTAATTTTATAATATTAGATAGATTAGAATTATAATATTTGATAGATAGAATATGCTATGTGAATCTTTTTACCTTTTAATCTTTCACATGCTGTGGTAAATGAGAATTGGTGTATTATCTAATTTTGATAGATTTAAATTATATAAGATCTTATTTTTGTTTCAGTCCGATTTATTCGATCGATTCTGGTTGCGGAAGCGACTTTGCGATGGACGAAGACGATGACGATGAAAGTTATTAAATAACTGTAAATAAAAATGAAGAAAATTAGGAAAAACTTGATCTCTATTCATATTATTTTAACGTCCTCAAAATTTTAGTTATCGTTATACCTTCGATTACTTTTAACCCAAGAAAAACTATTTTAAACTTTTTATTTGTTGTTGAGAACAAAAGTATCACTGTTTTATTTAATTATGTCAAGTATTTAAGTTTTTAATAATGAATTTTCATTAAGTTTTTCCTTCTATTCTGTCATATAACTGTAATTGTAATGTTTGTTCAGTAATATTTATTAAAAGTTATAAATTATTATATATCATTCATCACGCTATTGATATCAGATTGCGTTTTCTCTTGCATATCGCTAGCTTCTCAGTGTGATGAATCAATTATTTAGAATCAATATATTAATAATATTATAGTGAATTTGCACTTTAGATCAATTTATAGAAAATTGTATTATATTAGACCAAAATTATCCACTCTATTGACATGGATTTCTCAAATATACATATTAATGGACAAACATTATCTATTACAGTAGGTTTTGTCAAACCGAAACATATTTTTTTAATCAGTAGGTATTCAGATTATCTTAGGATAAAGTTGTTGTTTTCACTTTTGTGTTAATTAAGTAAATAGTATGTGGTTGAGTATAATTCATTTCAATAATGGTAGGTGAGAGCTACATGTGAGACTTTATTGATTGAATGATACGCGGTGCTGGTAATACATCAACTGCCATTTAATTTAAGTCATCCCATAAAAGTTTAGTATATTTTACTTTTAAGTCTAAAGGAAACTGTGTTTACTAATGAAGTAAAGCTCGTTTTGATGATATTCATATTAATTTTGCAATATTGATTGCAACTATATTTAAGTTTAACTACAAATATTAAAGAAAATATTTGCTGTTTTTGAGCTAAAACTGCAATAAGGCAGTATTTGGCTTATTAGAGCTATATAGCAGTTTCTACTTAGACTTAAAATAGAATATACACAGTTGATGTTTACCCCTGAGAATACTTTGAAGTGTCTAGTGATTATTTTAATGTGTCTACCAACGAATTTTTAATAGATTTAAGTTTTTAATAGACTTCTGTTATTTATTTTTTATTTTTAAGTGTTTGTTCAAGTTTTACTATTGTGTTACTGTTATTTCAGTGTAATGAGTTTATTTCAGATAATCATTAGTACATTATGCTTTCAGAGTCATTAATTATTTTAAACAAACATCGAAGCCTGGAAATGTTTTGTCTATTCAATGTCTTAATATCATTAGAAATATTAATCTTATCAAACACATTTCAAAGTATTGTCAGCTCTATTATATAATGAGGCATATATTCCAACTTATATTTGCAAGTGAGAGTTGCGGTGAGAGATTTATAAGTTCAAATATATGTGCATTGAACATTTGTGCAACATATCACATACAATTTTGTTCACAAATTGTTCTTTATACCTTTTAAGATTATATTAAGCCTAGAATTAGTTGATAATGAAATTATTGTGGCAGATATAAATTGAATATGAATTAACTACAATGTTTCTAAAAAAAATGTAGCAAAACTCAAATTTGAGGGGTTTTTAATATGATAGCAATTTGTGCTTAGCTTAATTGCAAAGAGTAGATTATCATCATTAAATTGATGACAGAAGTATTACCTAAAAATGTTTCTTCTAAAAAATACTTCTACAACATTTAGCTTATATAAAAGTTAGGTGTTTTCTGAAATTGATTGAGGATTGTTTTTTGTGTCTTAAATATCTATGGAATTATAATAATTTTAATCACATTATTGCATGAATTATTCTCATTTCAATTTCGTTAATTCTGCATTACTAAAGAATTTTTAGATGTAGCAAGAGTAATATTAATATTTTGCAAAAATATTCTTTGATGTATAAGATATGTATGTGATTATTTAAATGTACTACATCTAATAGGTTCGGAGACCTATGTACTTATTTTATCGTTTTTGTTGCAATATTTTAAGCAACTCTTTATTGTGACTTGGTATATTTCATTTTAAGAAACACTTATAGATGTGTCATTATAATAGATACTTTTCACTAAAAAATATTAACGCCAATTTATTTTAAGGTCATACGATTCATTTATTATATGCTTTGGTTTAGGTGCGCGTAAACATTAATTTTTAAATATCATACATTACTTGAAGACATTTAGGTATATTATATTATTTTAATCATAACGTTAGTAAATAAGTTTTTCATTTAAAATATAAAATTCATTTATAACATTTAAAGATCTCAAATATACTATATATGAAATTTGAAACTAATACAATTTGTCTTCACATAAAATATTAATTTTTAAGGGTTTCATGTTATCACTCGGTTTAATTTAGGTTTGTAGGCTTAAATATATAACAATGTAAAACTTGTCTTAAATATAAATGTCAGATGTAGAACGACTTCTTATTTTAAAATTAAAATTGAATTGAATTAAATAAAAAGCCGACGGTACGTTGCTTTTCGAATATTCCGCCTGGAAACAACATATCTTCTTTGCATGAGGTCAAACACTTTCTTCCAACTGATAATTTCATTTAAACGAATTTTAAAGCAATCACAATTTAATACAAATTAAATTTCACGAACTCTCAAAATATTATATTTTTTAAAATGAAATTGAAATTATTATTCTAACAGAAAATATGCGATTGTATAATATTCAATATAGTTTTATAAGTGTGTTTCAAGTTACTGGTTCAACTTTCGCCTCAGGCAGCCTGTTATCAAGCAGTAATTTCTGATGCCAATTCGAAAATGTGAAGGTTTAAATACTATTTTTTTAAAAAATAGCCTCTTGGTGCAACAAACTAAAAATAATAATTTTTAATTTGTTGCACCAATTCCGAAAAGACTATGTTTTTTTTAAATTATATTTAAATCTTCACATTTTTGAATTGCTATCAGAAACTACTGCTTGATAACAGGCTGTCTGAGGCGAAAGTTTGAGATCTGATCGCTATTGTAATACAGGGTGTTCTAGATCTCAAAGCCAAACTGAAAGATGTAATAGTGTTGATCGTAACTATCATGAAAAAAATTGACAAAAAAAATTATTCCATGTAGTTTGGAAATTATGAGCTTTTAAGTACAACCTAGAGCTTTGATAAAACTGTGGACATTTTTTGGTTAAATCGTGGTTAAATTTTAGTAATTTTGTACATGTAATAGATAAATCCATAATCATAATTAATTTTGTTTATTTCTAGGACTATAATCAAAAATAATGATACAATTGCTCGAAGTTTTTTAAAATTAAGATTTTTTGTTAAACTGTAAATTTTATATTTTCAAATTTTATAATTTTTTCATAATCTCTCATACCAGGCACCTCTGTCTGACTGAGATATGAAAATAAATAAATATATATATATATATATATATATATATATATATATATATATGAGTAAGTTCTTCAAGGGCATACATCAAATAAAAGGCAAAGATTTAGAAGTTAATCTTTAATTTAATAGACTTCTAAATCTTTGCCTTTTATTTGATGTATGCCCTTGAAGAACTTACTCATATTTCTCAACATCAAAATTAACTACTTTAACATATATATATATATATATATATAATGAAAAAAACAAATTTGGTTTATTTTGAAAGCTAAGTAGTCTTGGGCAAGTTTCATCAAAAGTTGGTGCATTTTATCAGGATTGTAAAATTGTATAATAGTTGGTAGTTTCATAATAAAAAAGTTAAGGTATAAAAATAAAGACCTAAAAAACGGCTTGAAACACCCTGAAAACAAAGTGAAGTTAAAAATATATATTTCGTGTTTCTCAGAATAAATGAATATTTAAAAAACAAGTAACAATCTCTTATAAATTTATAAATGTAATAACCTCATTATAATAAATTTAATTCAATTAATATTTTTCTTTACAAATGACTCAAGTTATAAGTTATTGTATCAGATTTACAAGTTACTGTATCAGATATCTTGAACGATATCGGAACAACGGACGTCTTGCATTTACCTCTTTTTTATGGTATATGTCTGTCCACAAAATAACTTCAAGAGAAAGTCCTCAGCGTATTATACAGATACAAAAAACCTATTTTCTCTGACCTTGAACCGCTTCGTAAGTTTCATTTGACCGAGCATCGTCTTCGACGTCCACGATGTTAAGGATACCATCTTCAATCGGAAGATCGCAATTATAAAACATATCTATATATTATATTGTACATACATGCATATTATATATTTATATTATGGCCCGGTTGTTGGCTACAGATCTGCCAATACTATTTAATTGCAATTAGATTCATATTAGATTGGCATAGGATATCAGTGAGTCCCAAGGCCAAACCATGTTTCAAATTTGTCATAATGTAAAACATCCAGTTTGTCTGTATTAGCTACCCCTTTCACCCATATACCACATGCATGTATACTCAGAAACAGTAAGTTATTTAAAAAAATACATTTTTGAAAAAAAAAAATTAATTTTAATAAATATGGATTTTGTTAGAACGTTATTTCTAAGATGTATTTCTACCATCAAATGATTGCTATCATAATTTGCTGCGGCATTTCTTTTAATTATGCACAAGTATCACATAAATATGCAAATCTTTTCAAACATATGATATCGTTTGAATGAAATTTAGAGAGTGAGACCTGCATAAATTTAGAATTTGGTGTCACTGCGTTATCGTTATCGCAAAATGCTTGTTGTGCGAAGATCTCTAATGAAGTTCTACATTAAACATACTAAAGTAGTAATTGAAATCCCTAATATATAAAAGCATTATTTAAAAAGATTCATTATTATATTACTTTAGTATTTGTTAAACAAGTTAGGGTTTGTCCATTAATCACGTGAGCAAGTTTTTAAGGATTTTTGGTCCCTCCTCCTCATCAAACATCATGTGTATTTTTAGTTACGTGATAAAACTAAAATTTTTGATTTTTTTTTGAAAATGTTCGATTTAAAAAAAATCAGTTAAGAAATAAATACACGTGATATCTTACTATACCCCTTTCCGCCTCCCCACGTGATTAATGGACGCTTCCCAAAAAATTGAACGAATTGTGGTCAGTTTCACAGAAGCATTATCGTCTTTAAGGTTAATGTTACTAAATTGGTTAATGGGCTGGAAATCACAAGT